TTCATGTCAAACCCTATGACATCTTCATTTTCTTCCAGAGGTTTTCTAAATTGCTAAATTGCTAATAATGGGAAAGGGTATAAACGATCACTGCAAGGGTTGGACTGATTTATCAAACTACATAACATCCCTTTTGCCGGCTAATTTAATTACATAGCTAACTCTGCGAGAACATTCACATCCCACATTGTCAGTTTGCCGCTATCTAATTTGTGCACCTGACAAAGTAGGCTGTTGTCCACAAAAGGTGCCATGGTGACTTTTTGGAATGCAGTAAAGGAAAATTCCCATGCATGTAGTGGTGCTGTAGCTTTGTGAGATGAGGGGCACATAGCAATAGAACACGTGGCTTTGCATTTATAAAACGTCTTAGATTATACCACTGGCATACTCCAGTCTAAATGATCTCAGGCAGAAAGACCCCTGTTTAAAGCCCCAGAGAGGCACTGTCAGCTAGCAGACAGCAGTGAGCTGGACCAATGATCTGACTCAGCACAGGAAGCTTCTTATGTCCCATTTCATTCCAAAGATACTATATCAACTGGCTCTGCAATACGTGATCTAATGAAGCACTAGGGAGTTTGTATCTCGAGAACCTATAAATGCTAACTGACTATAATATTATATGAAATCGTAGCCCATTCAGTTGAAAGAAGGAAAAGGCTTCAGAAAGCATGGCATCCACCTATATTGCCAGAGTTTTCAAGAATAAGAATATTTCACTGAAGCTAACCAAGTGCACAAAAAGAATTTTGATGCTTCCCATGCAGTAACAATTCATTTGCTAAAATATGTATTTTAATATATACACAAGAAAAAACCAATTATGTACAGCCAAGCAACCTGAAACAAAATGATTCCTTTGTTATTTTACCTATAAAAAGCTATTTCATTTGTGTGTGCGTGGACACAGACATGCAGGTATGAACACATGCAGATAGGTAACTACAGGGCAACACTAACACCTGAACTAGACATCATAGAATTGAGACCAAAGCATCTTGTTGTGCAGCACAACATGGAAAGGTGAATTACTGACACCAAAACAAATTTTCCTACACGAACAATGAAGCAGCTCTAACCTCCAGGCTGCAACAGGTAGGTGTCTCCCTGATGTTGGAAAAACAAATCTGGGTGGGAGAGGGAATGGAACAGAGAAGCTGTCAAAGGAGGACAGGAAGAGGAGGATGGGGAGAGAGAGAGAGAGAGAGAGAGAGAGAGAGAGAGAGAGAGAGAACCATCTCATTGTCTTGATAGGTCATTTCCTGGATCAAAATAAAAAGCTATTTTTAGTGTCTTCAGTGATGGAAATAAGAGCTCTCCATAGAAACCAGTGGGGAAACTCAGGGTTTTCATGTAGCTAGGATTGAATACTAGTGTTTCTCACTCTGTGCACAAAACAGCCCATGAAGACTGAACATGTTCAATAGGAATCATTATCATCATCATCATCTCAGTGTCCAGGCTGAATGATGGAGGTGGAGACGCTCCTTCAGGTATACAAGCTGAACAGAATACTGACCAACTTTTACAGGGAGGATGGAATGGAAAGCCTGGTACCTTGAAGTGAAGCACTTCACACTGCGACATTTTGTTGCATGGCCCCATTTACAAACAGAAATGGTCATATAGCATTGTGCCCAAGTAATATTCATGTGTAAACTGATACCAAATCCCTTTGTTTCAATGTAATGTATATACTGATAAGTAAGGCTGAGCATGATCAAGAGACAATAGGTTTCTTTTGTGATTCGAGGACCCACCACCCGCTTGAGGATAAGAAAGACACATGGGCATGGTATATAAGGTTAATGGGCTAAAAAAGGCCACAACTTTATTGATTACAGCATGTGAGAGGTATTGGCTTAGGCATTGGATAAACCACAGTGAGTGACTCCACCCCCTCAGGGAGGGGTGAGTCTATCAAGGGTTAACCACCAGTGAGAGGAGCCTGTTGATGCAAATACAACTGAAGACTCCCCTTGATGTCACCGGGGGTCGTGCCATGGCCCTAGCCACCAGAAAGGGCGTCGGACAGGATCCACGACCGCCGGATTCCTTTACCCATAAAGTGGAGGGGTAGGCAATGGCCACACCCTTCCCTCCAATACACAAACATATTCCAATGCCTAACCGCCAATACCCAAAAAGTTGTGACGATTTGCTACGAGGTAGGTGAAAAACCAAGTGCCAATTTGCCAGTTGGATAAAAATTCCTACCAGGCCCCTTGGACAAGCAAGACGACCAACGGCAGGTCCATAGCAATGTCAAGAACCAAGCAATGAACTAAAGGGAGGGTGGGTGGGTGATCCGACGAAAACCAGTAGCGGAATGAAAGGGAAGCACTGCCGTGGACGCATTTGAGCAGCTAAACCCCGCCCCCAAGCCTCCACCCGACTGGTTGGCTACCTGGGGGTGTGGCGCGGCAGCCGGGCCAGCTGGGCAGGGGCCTAAACGCCCCCTGCCAACACAGGAAACGGCTGCCGCTCACAACTCCTCCCCTCTGTAAGGAGGAGAGGCTTTCTCCAATGACGATTCTGTTCTTCCCATGCAGGAGAAGCTTTCTGTTGTGAGAACAGCAAAACAAACCTGAAATGCTCCTGTGCTAAACTAGTAATAATTGCACTGCTAAATGCAAGTCATTTATGCTTAATTTCAAACATGAAATTGAGAGAGAAAGGAGCGTGAAACAGGGAGGACAGAGCCCAATCTGGTTTCTGGTACTCCAAACCGCTGTTTGGCCTTGGAGCATCATTTGAATTGAGTCGCTCTGTGTAAAAAGGATTGCTGCCACAAAAAAGCAGGAGGAAAAAAACAGCCCTTCTACTCTGAGTCATTTATATGGTTGATATAAACTTTGATTTGTTTTCCTTCCTGCAATGGTCTAAGACAAGGTCCATTTTCTGTGTATTCTCAAATCAAGTAGCCTGGGCTTCCTCCCTCCCAGAATACATCAGTTGCTGGAAGGGGAAAAGTGAGAAGGAAAATTATAGCCTACTCCCCACCCCACCTCACCCTTGCAACAGAACTCTTTACTTTTAAAGGGGAAATTTCATCTATAATTTACACAACCCACCAAATAGAATAGCACCCTTCCTTGAAATGATTTTCATACGGTTCAGTGCCTTCTCTCCTTCTGATGGGATAACTAGTCTTTAAAGTGCTGCCTGCTTGCCAAAGAATAAGAAACACGAACATGTGAGAAGCAGCTGTGTTTTCTGGAAACATCTGGAGGAACATCAAGCTGGTGACTTTGGGGCTTTCTTTGAAGGGGTAGCTATCCACACAGCACTCGTTCTGCCATGTCATGAGACCAGTGTCATATGAGTACCACAATAGATGTTTCAGATGATATGATTGTCCCTCTGGGGCACTTTTTTCTCTAACTGTCTCTCTGGTTCTACACACCGAGACACCACAGTTATGAAGAATGCTCCTATATCAGCCTTCCCCAACCTGATCCCACTCACCCCTCGAGATTGTGAAGAGATGTATATGAATCTGAACTTATGATATGGTGTATCTCTGTAGCTCATGGCATGTATAAGATTAACATAACTCTAATATGATAGGAGATCCTCTGTGATGAGCTGGAACATGGGACCCTAGAACAAGCCTGATTCCAACTTCCCCCGAAACGCCATTTAGGCATATCCGGAGTTCACCCACATCTGACTTATAGATTAACATATGCATATTTAGTTGTCAAGTACAGGATATACTCAATGACAATCATCTACACAATGGTAAGGTGAGGGCAGCGGAGGAAAAGATGGCCAGGTTAAAACCTTTACTTTAATAAACATATAACTTAGAAGAATATATTTACAATATCATGCTCAGATTGCTATTAACGTTTAGGGATCTCCTTTGTTTCACTTCAGACAGATCACACTAACACACACTGTCCTCAGCAGCATCCCGAGAAGTCTCTCTCAGCAGCCAAAAAAAAAGTTAAAAACAACAGTTCCTTGAATAACAGTCACAACAGAATGGAATGCCTCTCTCCTGTGACTGACAGTCAGCCAATCACATGAGAGCTATTGCCAAAGGAAAAAAGCCAATGCTAAAAATACACAGCAATTCCACATAAGCAAACATTCCCATTTCAGGAAATTGAAGTTATCCTTAACACAAGTTTAGTTAATCCGCTCACTATCATGAGTCTTTCACCATTTTGTTCCTTGTGCTGGGCTGCACAGCTTCCCAGAGCCATAAGATCAGTTTTTTTGAGAGCTTTGCATACTTCCCCTACAGTCCAAGAATTGGAAAACAATAGACAAAATTTCAAGGAGCCCATCTGAAGGTGATGTTCCCAAATATGAGAATCAAAACTGAAGGGACTGTTTCAGATCAGATCTACTTTACACCAGTGCACCCAGCACAAGAAGGCGGAACCAACTTCTCATCATTACCATATAAAGCACTTACAACCTGTCATTTTGGTCTGGCTAATAAGCCATTTTTCATTCCTGAGCATAATTGCTTTGGCAGAATTTCTTAGAAATCAGGCAATGACATTATTGTCAGCACTAACAGTTCTTCACAAAGAAGCCTGTGAGCAAAGTATCCCCATTTAACCTGAAAGCTGGGACGTGATCCAAATCAATAAACTATGCTGCTACCTTCATTTCTCTGCAAAGAAAAAAAAAAGCCAAGGAAATTCAGCTGCATGTCCTGGATTATGCAAAAGATGTATATTAAAAAGAAACAAAAGAAAATAAAGTTGGAAAGAAGGGAACATGCATGGTGCACCTTGAAATTTTGTCCTACGCTAAAGATTTCTTTCTCCCCCCCCCCCCCCCGAGCATCCTGTATCAATTAATTATCCACCAAAAATTATCAAATGGGAAAGAAAAAATCAATGAAGTCCCCATAGGTTGGAGTGGATCTTTGTTACGGTTCTTACTTTCAAGATGCTTGAGAAATGAATGTCTTTTCATTCTACATTGTATCTTTTAAAAGTATGGTTGCAATTTTTTCTTGATTTGATTGTTTTAGCTTTTTGTAAAGTGCTTTGAGGGTTTCTTTTACAATCAAGTGGGGTATAAATTTTATGAATTAAAATAAATAAAATAATACAAGCTATATCTTTGGTGGTATGCATTTTTCAAGCTTTCCTAGATGCCCATGCTCCCTGCAAACTGCAATATGTCCATGGCTGGTCTTTCCAGAAAAAGTGAGGTTCTTTTTAAGGTGAAAGGAAGACATTGCCTTAAAAACAAAATCAGCAAGCTCACCAATCTTGGTGCTTGCTAGCCAGTCCCCCTGGCTTCCCATGTTTCAATTAAAGGCCATTGTGAGCCTATCTTCCTATGAGGCCTTTTTAGATCAGGGAGTGAGGACAACCAGGAAGGCTGCAGAGTGCTGGGGAAATATTTAATGGTAATGAAATATTGACTACCTCACAACAAAAACCTGAACTACGCACCTTAAAAAATGATAAAGGAATTGTAATGTACCCAGGGCCGTCTTACCCATAGGCACTAGGGGTGCAGGGCACCCAGGCACCTGGCTCTCAGGGGCACCAGGCCAAGAGTCTGGGGCCTGAGAGTTGAGTCCAGGGAAGAGCCTGCCCGTTGGTCGGAGCACCACAGCAGGCTCTTCTGCTGCGGGCGGCTCTGTGCCATGAGTTTGGGGGTGACCAAGCCACTGAGACACTGAGGTGGCTGGCCGGCTCCGCCCTCCTGTGTGCCTGGGACTGGGCAACCTGGGGGGGGGCACTGGGCAAATCTTTGCACCCTGGCACTGCATATGCTTAAGACAGCCCTGAACGCACCCTTTGAATTAGACAGAATGGAAGCCCACTTTGTGGAAGAAGAAAGCATCAAATAACTTGGGGAACAGTTCTCATTAGAGTACTACTGAAGTCATCAGTGTGCAGGCAAATCTGGGGTGAATAAAGATGATCATTTACCAAGAAATTACCGTACTTACCATATAACACTGACAATAACTATGGTCTGTAATGATCTACATTGTCCTGTCCAGTTATGAACTGAATTGTACCCACTGCCTATTTGTCTGATTATGTGCAGAAGTGTGGTCAAATTTTCTTGTGTAAACATAATGTCTGTGTCTAGCAGATAACAAACTGGCTTTTCCAGTTCTTTTAATCTAAATGTTATTTAAAAATGCTAATTGAAATACTGAGTTCTTAGACTCCCATAATCACTGGGCTGCCTGGAGCTGATGGAGGCTGGAATCTAGCAACTTCTCAAAGAACATCACATTGGCTGCCTCTATGCTCTGTTGTTAATATTATTAAATCCTATCTCCTGAAATGTAATTTATTTTTAAAATGTACCTCACCGTATTTAAATAAGAACTCAATGCAGGTTGCATTAAATTATAAAAGGATGCATAAAAACAAATCCCTAAAGTGACTGGTTAAAATTGCAAAAAGAAAGTAAGGAAGAGAAAGAAAAGAAACCACTTGATCCCAGTAATATAAGTTGTAAGTTAAACTAACAGGTGCCCTCCCTTAGTGTGATAGTTGGGTTTGTGGTTGGCACAGGGTGAGAGGCCATCATAATGCGTTCAGTCCTCGATCCCAGTTATAGCTCCACAGCCACAAAGACACCAGGAGCTTCCAGCCATTTCTATCTGTCAAATATCAGATGGCTTGTGATAAAAGTCTACTATGCCCAAAATATTCAGTGCTCATCATTCTTTATTGCCTGGTTGCCCTATAAATCTAACAAGCACAACATGTAAAACCAATTTACAATACACATTGCAAGCCAAGTAATTGAATGTATACTTTGACAAGGTTGGCTTCTCTCTATTATCGCCAGATAATGGGACAAAACAGAGTCAAATATGGGCCACCATGAACCAAATGCCTCTTTTTAATGCAACAATAGCGTAACTTGCTATTAACATGCACAGTTCATGAGACCTCCTGAGATGCGCTGTGAGGTATTATTGCTATAGTATGCAAAGCTGGTCCAAATACCTACTATGTGAAGTTTCCTGGAAAATAGCCTCCATTTCCAAGTTATCCACTACTGACCTCAGGGTAATCGCCTTAATAAATGGGTTTAATAGTTGCAATGTCCAGAGAATACTCAGTGGTAATGGAGCGGGATGGGCAGGGAGGGTTCAATTATTGAGAGTGTATGATCACTTTTATCTTTTCATTGCAGTTTATTGTATGTCACTTTGAAAATATTTTACTTTGTGTTCCTCGTAAGTCACCTTGAAACCACAATGATACATGGCAACAAATTAATAATAATCAACCATCATAATTGATATGACATAAAGGTTTTGGTTTAAAACTATTGTCTCAATACTCCGAACTTCACAAATTGCTTACGGAATTGCCCGCAGCTGACACTATATATATATGATGCAGGAGCTTTTTATCTGTTGTCCTAAATATGTTTGTAGTGTAGTTGTTATATATTTCTGTAAATTTTTGTTCAGCACCTGGGTAGCAATTCATTGGTTCATTGTTCAGCACTTGGGTAGCAATTCATTGGTTTATCCATTTTCTTATAAATGCATAAATGTACGAAAGGAACACTCTTAATTATCCATCTGAGTACCACTTTGAGAACTTTTTGCTTTAACCCCTTCTCCGCATTCCAACTCCAATAGGCTTCCATTTCTTACCTTGTATTTTTATATTGTAAACATGCAAACAGGCCATGTTTTGGTGTGTTTTTTTAAAATAATTTTTATTAACCGACCAATCAAATCAAATTAAATCACATCACATAAATTCCGAATTACAAAGCCGAATTTTAATTTTTTGTTGAGGGGACCTATATTTCAAGTTCCGAAGGGGGATTCCGATCATCTTCTTGCTACTGCGTTAATATCCAAATCAGTCCAAATAAAGTTCATAAAGTTCATAATTCTATCCAGTCTTGTCTTGCTGTTTCCACATCTCATCTTGTTCGTATATTTTTTTTCTTTTTTCTTTATGATCTCTTCTGATAATCTCCTTAAGCAGATAAACACCAATTATAATCCTGTGTGAATTTTTCTGTTCGTCCAATCTTCATATCAAGATGGTTTCCATATATCATCATTTTCATAAATAACATCGCTCTTTCCATCATTAATCTTGCAAAACTGTCGCTCTTAAATCCCTCTGAGGAGTCACATCCACAATATAAAAGCAGCTCTATTTCTCCTCCCAGACCCAAGTCCTCCGATAGAACTTGCCAACATGGCGACTGCATTTTTAACTGCGTCATTCCAAAGCTCTTATACTTTGCACGATCTTCTTAAAACATGCTTTGGTTAGAAAATTTATCTCCACACAGTCATAAATCCAAGCTTAAGTCATTAAAACGACATTTCTGACTTGTGGGGGGGGGGATTCTTGGTTAATCACATAGAGGAGAAAAAAGGAAAGTTCCCCCCCTCCCCCCTCCAGCCCTTTGCCGTACCAAGCCTTGGCATTTCTTCTCATGATTTATCTTGTTCCTCCGACCCGTCTTGTTTACCAGAGATCTCTTCAGTTAGCAGTCTTTACTCCCCCTCCTTCCTGGAAATATGTGCATTCGCTTCCTCCTAATTGTTTCTTTTGAAGTTCTTGCAGCTAGCGGCGCGAATCAGAGACAGCGTCCAGGAGCGCCGAGATCCACAGGAGGGCATTCTGCCTAGTGCCCCCATCCCCACAAATTCGGGGGTGGTATAGGGCACAGCAGGCAAGGGCAGCCCCCCCCCACAACCTTGGGGGGGGGGTAGGGAGGCTATTTACTCCCATCACAGCCTCCTAATTACCTCATGTGGGTCGGAGAGATGTTATTGTCAGCCATCTTCCGATGCGCCCCTAGTGGCCCCTCATGCCATGTTTTGGTTTAGATTACATATACTGCCAAGCTATAGATCGTTGGTGGTATAGTGGTTAGCATAGCTGCCTTCCAAGCAATTGACCCAGGAATCCGCGTTCTCTGAGGACAAGGACGAAGGTCTGAGGCATCACTGCAAAGCGAACAGCTCGGTCGGCATCGGTGGCTCCAAGTGCGCACCCTGCCATTTCTAAGGGGACCCTCCCACCCCGTACCTGAGTGGAGACGCTGCAGAGATGGAAGAAAGAGACAGCAGCTGCATGGGGGAAAGGGTGCCCACCAAGGGAAAGGTAAGCTCCACTAATGAAAACAGCAGCAAACATTCTGCATGTACCTGAAATGCATTTTTATTGCTTTGTAAAGTCACTGCAAACTATTCTGCCTTTTATATGAGTTCTTGCTTGTGACAAAGTCACCTGCCTCAGTTTAATGAGGCTAGAGAGAGAATTAGGGAGTCAATACCTTTAAGCTGGAAGAGATTTTGGACTCATTTTTTTCAAGCTCTCTCACATCCTTGTTTGAATAACCAGGAGCTGAGGGCTTTTGGAAAAACTGCTTTTGCATTTTCGTCAACACAATATACGTATCTGCAAGAAATTAATCTGAACCATAGGACAAGTTGTTAGCTCAGTTCATAGTGGATGTCCACCATTCAACCAGACTCATTTCCTTCAGACTTGTTTTTTGACAAAGCTTGCTGCATTCTCTTAACCGGCACACACCAATTCTGTTCACAATGAGATACCTCCCCCAAAAGCAATATGCATATTTGAAGAGGAAAGTACAATATTTAATTATTAGGAATGTGAATAAGAGGATGATAATTAAATTATGACCTTCTATAGGACAAGGAATTTTCATATCACAAAGGAATTTGTGTTGCAACATGGTAATAAATCACATCTTTTGAGCTTTTTTGAATTACAATTGATAGAGTCTTTATGAACTCCCAGACGTCTTAGAGCCCGGTGATAAAACACTGCCAGTTGGCCAGGGTGGATATTTTATTAAGGGTTAGAAAATCCAAATGTTATAAAGCTGATTTGGATTTCTCATAAATATAATTAACTGGCTGTTCCCCTAAAGCATTTACTTGCAGAGCACTGTTGAGGGCAGCTTGTAACCCTGATAAAAAGCCCATTTACACCTTGACAGCAAACAATGAGCTCTGGTTTTTAAACATGTAACTCTCTTAAGCCAAACAATCCTGTTTAACTTTCCTATTCCACAAGATAACATGTTATTATGAATGCAAACAGAAATGCAGGCGCAGCTTCCATTATGCAGCGCTTGAGTTCTTTAGGACAATTCTGCCCAATGTTGCATGCTCCGTAGCAACTAAAGCTACAAACCAGAAGAATGCATCCGCCTATAATGGTTTGCTCCACTGTACCTCCTCCCCTTGCCATCTCCTTAACACAAGTAAAGAATTATAATGGCTTTTCTTAGGCAGCTGGTGTATCCGTTAAATTAACAGAATAGTTTTGTGGCATAAAGTTGTTTTTCCTCACTTAGATTAAGAGAGCTGAAAGGACAAAACACTCACTACGATACAATAATCTTTACTGTCATTGTTCCATGCAGAACAACGAAATTGAAAATCTACATCAGACATTCAGAAAGCAACAAGCCTGCTATCCCAGCTATCCCAGCCTGGTTAGCCCCCTAAAAACTTTGATACCCCATCATTAAATACAATATACTCCCATAGAGACTACCTTACACTGCGTTAAAACCAAAATCAAATTTGAATAGAAACTGTTTCTCAGGCGGCTAGTCCTAGTCTTTATAACTCTGTACCTTCTTCCAGAAGGCAGAAGCTGAAAGAGATCATTTCCAGGGTGCCCACTATCCTGCACTATCTCTGCAGCTTTCTTATGGCACCTGGAAGCATAGATTTGATCCAAGGTGGGAAGAAGGCACCTAATTATTCTCTCCACAATCTTTACTACCCTGGACAGCATTGTTTTTCCCCTGACTGTGCAGCTCCCAAACCACACACAGAGAGTTAATACACTCTCAACAGTGCAATGGTAAAATGCCATCAATAGGTCCTTTGAGAGATTATTTTTCCAGAGGATTCTCAGAAAATATAACCTCTGCTGTGCTCTCTTCATCAGGTCTTTGCTGTTTTCTCCCTTGCAAAGTGATCAAAGAGAAATCCAAGGCTGTAGCAAGACACATATGGCAAAGATGGCAGAACTGTTAGGAAGAGTTTTCCAGGGACTGATCCAAATTCTCTTTTCCCTGCCCTGCACTGCCTGTTAATGAAAACAGGATTCATTGCTCAAAAATATAGCATAAACTCAGGCATAAACACTAGGAATTCTGGTAGATGGTGAATATGTCAATCAATTCCTCACAGGCCACATATATTGCTGCTGGGAAATGGGTTCTGGTGTTCATGGGAGCACGCCACATGCAGGATGTTAGAGCTTCTCAATTAGGATATTAGCAAGTGCAAAACTGAATCGCAGTGACAATCTCTGCAATGTTCAGATGATGATGAAGAAGAAGAGTTTGGATTTGATATCCCGCTTTATCACTACCCAAAGGAGTCTCAAAGCGGCTAACATTCTCCTTTCCCTTCCTCCCCCACAACAACCACTCTGTGAGGTGAGTGGGGCTGAGAGACTTCAAAGAAGTGTGACTGGCCCAAGGTCACCCAGCAGCTGCATGTGGAGGAGCGGAGATGCGAACCCGGTTCCCCAGATTACGAGTCTACCGCTCTTAACCACTACACCACACTGGCATTCATTATTTGGAAATAAAACGAGTCTTGCAACCAATATTCAGGACATCCATAAAATAAAGCAGGCTCTGCCTTTTGGAAACCCTTCGCTAATCTTTGCTCAATAGGTCACTTCACTTTCATCTTGGTACTCTTGACATTTAAAGGTATATGATACAGAAAAGCCATGTCAGCATTAACTAATAATACTAGTATGTACTAGCCGATCAAAAGGTCAAAGTGCCACTTCTTGTTGCATTGCACAATTTAATATGGTGGAGTTATGAAGCTCCTTAAGATCAGATTATTACCTTCAGTTTCCTACAGCTTTTAAGGTTCACAGTAAACACAGGGCTCACCTTGATTGTGGCTTATGCTAAGAGCTTCCATACTTTCTTTCTTCATCATGAAAGGACATTCTGTTCACATTTAAAGGCAAATGTATCAAATTCCCACTTTCCAAAACAATATGAGAACCAAAACACAGCCATCCTTTGAAATTTGCAGTTATCCACATTTTGTGATGCAATCCTCCAACCAAACAATGTTTGCAAAAATGCATTTATTAGGGGAAAGGCTGCAATAAAAAATAACATACTAGTGAAAATAACATGCAGAAACACATCTTATTCTGAAAGATTGCTTGCACAAATGTGCACGAAGCAAAAACTACATCTGCATAAAAAAATGTGTTTATTGGGATAAATTCATCTTGAAATGCTGATGAATTTTCATGAGGATTTTTTTTAAAAAGTAGATTGCAGTAGAAATGCAGAGAACTGAATTTGAGATTGGAAAGGTGAGAAACTGAGGCAACCAGAACTGGCAGGTTTTTCCCTCCCTTCATTTTCCAAATGGGGAGATATATGGGAGACCTTATCTACATTGCCCAGAGTGCACTGAAGGAAGGGTGGGATACAAATGTGACAAATTAAAAGGGACCATCAAATCACTGAGGGAGAATAAATTTCTTCCTTTGCCCCTCCTCTCCCCACACCCCTTCCCTCTCTTTGTCATGTGTCTAAGCAGCAGGTAATTGAGAAACTGCTTTCTCCATGATCTATGCTTTGCACTTCTCAGTTCAGTTGATCTCCACTATGGAGCCTAATGGGGTACATCACTTGGGCTGAGATAAGAAATGCAGGAAACCATTAGTGCAGTCTAAACCTACCGAGCTGAGCAAATATGTTTGCGCACCATAGGATTTCTTCAAAGGCAGGATTCTCTGAGGGATCCTGGTGTGGGGCAGTGGCAATGGGTGGCTCAGTTTCACTCCCCTACTGGATGGCATGGGGCCATTAAGTTCCCTGTTACATGAAATTATGACAAAGTACTGCAAGAGTTTGTGATAAAGCTGCTGGGATTTATAACTAAACTGGACTTGCACCTTTATGAGTTTGGCTAGTGGAACTATTACTGTATTTATTTTAATTTTTTTGTACAATTTGGCAACATACTTCTCTTGCATACTTTAACTGCTGCATAAAAATTAAAAAAACAGAGTTAGAAGTTACCCCTGAAGAACATTATATTTACCTGCAATAAATAAGCAGGGTATTTTTTTAGAAAAGTCAAGGCGACCAAACTAAATAGCAACCATTTTGTCAAACAGCTCTGAAACACCTATCGAGACAGCTGTTCCTACTCTTCCTTGTCGCCGGTGAGAACAGAGAAAGAGATTAAAGTGGGTCAGGAAATTGTCAAATTCTCCTTCAGTGGCTCAATACTCAGTCTGTAGTGAGGATGACCTCATGCTGTTACTGGCTGTGACCCTAACCTCAGCTGGTAGAGAAAGAGGACACAGAAACATGGTACTTCAAAAGTTGAAAACAAAAAAGAATATACGAAGGGAGAGAAAGCTTTGCGCCATCAAAAGGTTTGACAATGTTTCTTTGCTTCCTCCTCAATTTCCCTTTGCCCGGTATATGAATGGTTGGACTTTTTCTCCCCTTGGGGCAAATCTAGCATTACAGATCTTGGTCAAAATTCCAAATATCATTCCATACTTAAAACTACAGTGTTTTCCTGTTCCCCATTTTTTTGTGAATTGTAAGACATTCAAGAGAGAGCCTTTTACGGAACAGAGCACACCAGGGACTTAATACTGCCTTCTGTCATAAGATTCTTATACATTACAAATGTAAAGGATGCTCAGACAGAAAGAATGAACAAACACAACAGACATTCCAAAGCAACATCAATTCAGCGCCTGGAATATCCTAAGGGCCATTTATGTCAACAAGAAACTTCTTCACTAAATGTTATTTATTCTTCTCATCCTTCCTCCATGAGCTGAGGGGAAGTTAGCCCATTTTACCACCACAGCAACCATTTTAGGTAATGGGCTAAAAACAGAGTGGAATGTGGCCCCCCATTCCTTTAAACTAGGCCCTCAGGACCCTCCCCAGGCTACATCCCTCACTGGCCTTGCTCCATGCCCTACCCAAATGCTTCTTCCTGCCTGGAATGCATCCAGGGAAAGCCAGAACGGTGTAGAGGCTAGAATGCTGAACTAGGAGTACTGGACTAAGTCCTCTAGAGGTGGATGGGAATGGCACTTTGCAGAGTTTTCTCTGATTTACATCCAGAACATTGTGATGGTTGCTGTTGTTACGTGCAGCAGCAAAAATAAAAAAAGCCGTAGGGGAAACCAAAGAACCTGCGCTACTGTCCTTGCAAATGGTGAGCTCCACCCCAAGAAATTGCTGGAGAATTTACTCTCTCACTGGAGAAATTTGGCAAGGTGGTCTCCTCCAATTCATCTGCTCACAATTACAGTGGAGAATTTTGAAAGGCCATTTGAAAGCTCAAAACACACTGTTCTGATGCAAAGCAGTGATGTAAAATCAGCATTACAACAAATGTATTTTGACAGTTCTGATTTTTTCCTCTTTTTGGTGCAGCACCTTTTCTGAATATTGGGGGGAGGGGAAATCCCATCATCACCCTGCCACCCACTCAGAAGCTATTCAGGTTACTTTGCCTCCAGTGGTGTAGCATGGGTTGCCAGTGCCCAGGGCTGCATGGAGGGCTGGATAGGAGGGAAACGGATGGAGTACACATGCACATTCAACTGCCTAACAGCATCCGCGTCACCCAGGAGATCACAGCCACAGAGAAAAGAAGAGTCGTTCTGTTGTCTGGAGAGGTCACCTCCTGGTTTGCATGGAGAAGCTGTTTTCAATGGAGCCCAGCAAAGGAAGCGCACAGCTGTATTGAGGCAGCTCTGGGTGGTGAAATTTTGTGCCCCTAATCATTTTGCGCATGGGGCAACCACCCCTGTGGGTCCCCCCTCGATGCCACTCTTTACCTTTTCCTTATGTATATTGTCAGTATCTACCAACCTATTTGCAACCAGTTTTCTGGCGTGGCAAGAAGGCTGAACAGCTGCCACTTGGTTGACACCATCTGCTTATCTAAGTACTGCAACCACCTCTCCTTTGTCTAGGGCTGGGTCCTGCATTTGGGGGGATGACACGTTAAAAGTTATTTAGGTTTGCTCTCAAGATAAGCCCCAATGCGTTCTATTATAAACAACCCCTTATGGCTCCAAGTGTCAGTGCCTCCTTTCCTACATTCTGCCAAAGAGAGTCATTTCCTGTTGGAGCATTTCTAAAAGCAATTAAGCTCTCCGTGTTTGCTGTTCCAGAGAGATCTCCTCTAAAAGCCTGCTCCATCTTGCTGAAGTCGGTTTGCATCTTGGGCCACTTGCTGGCACTTTCTCACAGCTGCCTTTGCTCCACCACCTGGATCCTTTCCATCATCCGCTTCTTCAACCCGAGGCTGCAACAAACTATGGTGCTGTGCCAGCTTCATCACTACTGTAGCATGCCATCTGGAGCAGGGGCAGCATTTTCGTAGCCCCTGTGGTCTTCCCCTGCCTTTGCCTCTTTCAGTATGGGACTGTGGCCATGCTGCTTGTGAGAGAGAAGGAAGAATGCCTAGAGCTAGGAGAATCGGAGGTCATCAGCTGAGCATCCCTTACTTTTAGACTGTGCACAACATTTTGAATTAGCAAAACTGCAATTACCGTATTTTTTGCTCTATAAGACTCACTTTTTCCCTCCCAAAAAGTAAGGGGAAATGTGTGTGTGTCTTATGGAGTGAATACAGGCTGCGCAGCTATCCCAAAAGCCAGAACAGCAAGAGGGATCACTGCGCAGAGATCCCTCTTGCTGTTCTGGCTTCTGAGATTCAGAATATTATTTTTTCTTGTTTTCCTCCTCCAAAAACTAGGTGCGTCTTATGGTCTGGTGCACCTTATAGAGCAAAAAATACGGTACATCCCCATGGCAATTATTAGAATATGCTACCTTATTCAAAATTGCACATACAATTGGCACTTCCTCTTTATTTCAAACTAGGAAGTCTCTTCACTCTTCCAATATATACCCTCCATACAGGAGAACAGGAAAACTGAGGTATTCCTACACTCAATCCTAATATATCTGTGCTTACATGTGGCTCACTTTATTATGCATTCTTGCTATTAACACAGCAACCTCATGCAGGTATAACTCAAAACTGAGGCATAGCGTTAGGAGCTTGGGCAAACCCAACTCAATGGTGTAACATTGGAACGTGTCCATCATTTCTCCTACTTGGGCAGTTATCTTTCCACAAGGGCCAACATTGATGCCAAAATCCAGCATCGCCTGAGCTCTGCAAGTGCAGCTTTCTTCCAACTGAAGTGCAGAGTGTTTGAGGACCGGGACATTCACAGGGAAAACAAAATGCTTGTTTACAAAGCTATTGTACTACCAACCTTACTACTGCTTCTGAAACATGGACCACTTATAAACGCCGTCCCAAACGCCTCAAAAGATTCCATCAACGGTGTTTCCAAAAAAAAAAAAAAAAATACATTGGGAAGACAGGCAAACTAATGCCAGTGTACTGGAAGAAGCCGTAATCGTATAGTAGTTAGTACTCTGCGTTGTAAGGGACGCGGGTGGTGCTGCAGGTAAAACCTCAGCGCCTAGGACTTGCCGATCGCATGGTCGGCAGTTCGAATCCCCGCGGCGGGGTGCGCTCCCGTCGTTCGGTCCCAGCGCCTGCCAACCTAGCAGTTCGAAAGCACCCCCGGGTGCAAGTAGATAAATAGGGACCGCTTAGGAGCGGGAAGGTAAACGGCGTTCCGTGTGCTGCGCTGGCTCGCCAGATGCAGCTTGTCACGCTGGCCACGTGACCCGGAAGTGTCTCCAGACAGCGCTGGCTCCCGGCCTCTAGAGTGAGATGAGCGTACAACCCTAGAGTCTGTCAAGACTGGCCCGTACGGGCAGGGGTACCTTTACCTTTTACCTTTACTCTGCGTTGTGGAAGAAGCAAATATTACCAGTGTCGAATCAATGATTTTTCAACATCAACTTCATTGGACTGGTCATGTTGTTCAGATGCCTGATTATTGTCTTCCAAAGGAGCTTAAAATGGAAAGCATAATGCTGGTGGTCAACAAAAGAGGTTTAAAGACTCTCTCAAGACAAATCTTTGAAAATGTAGTATAAACACTGACAACTGGGAAACACTGGCCTGTGATTGCTCCAATTGGAGAACAGCCTTTAGCAAAGGTATCATGGACTTTGAAGACACTCAAACTCAGGACAAAAGGGAGAAATGTGCAAAGAGGAAGGCACGTTTGGCAAACCCTCACCGTGATCAGCTCCCACCTGGAAACCTACTGTGGAAGGACATGTGGATCCAGAACTGACCTCCACAGTCACTTATGGACTCACAGTTAAGACTGTGTTCATGGAAGACCATCTTACTCAGCTATGAGTGATCACCAAAGAAAAAGAAAATATGGTTTTTAAACAAGTGGTTGATACATTTTTCTTTTTCTAAAAGAATAAATAAAGGCTGTAATTCAGACTTCAGTCTGTAGATTTCCTTGAAAAAACACACACCAAGCAAAGGAGGAAGCAGGGGGATGGAAGCAAACATTTTATATGCTCTATCACATCTGAGATAAAAAATTTAAAACCCTGAAGTCAACCATGAAATTAGTGACAAACAGCAATCTATGTTTGCTCAAAAACAAAAACACCTGAGCTTCTTTAAAATCTCTGCTTAAAATCTCCGTCTCACAAAAATCAATATCCCTACATGAAGATTCCTCCAGCTCCTCCAAGGATAGGCTCTTTTTATTTTAACTCTACAGATGATATTCTCATTAAAAAAATAATATAAATAGAATGCAGTCAACAGAAAAGGCTTAAAGGCTCATCCAATTTCTTTTGGCTTCTGGGATCTGGCTCTTTGCACACAAGTAAACAGATCAACCCCCCAGCCCAGCTTAGCGGTTTTATTTCAGCATTGTTGCCATATGCATTGTGATCGTTTCTCAGCAAAATCAGGATGCCTGCTGCAAATTTATCCCATATACCCAGGGCCGGCCCAAGACCTTCTGGTGTCAGAGATGAGACCAATGCTTCCCCTTTCCTGAACCAGACACATGCCCTGGTGGAGTGGGAGATTCATGCCACCGAAGGCTAATCATCTCAGGTTGCCTCACTGGTATGCCAGCCATGCTGGGGCAGAAAGCTAGCTTAGGGGCTACAGGGCAAACCACATGCCACACCTTTGTGGCCACTTTCCACCCCTCAGAATTTGCCATCTGAGGCAGCTACCACACTCTGCCTCAAGGTAGGACTGGCCCAGCATACACGTTCCTGACTGAAGACCAGAAGCAACTGGTAAAGCTTTTCTGGGGCTGTACGGGTTCAGGTGTGCGTGAGGGGATGCTCCTCCATGAAAATTTAGATAGATGGAAAGATGGCAGGGAGAAGGCGAGATTGAATCCACCTCCTAGGTCACACTAGCTTTCTACATTCAGATATATTTTTTCCCCATGGAGGACTGTTCAACCACTAGATCAGTCCAGTAAAAGCTTTACCAGTGTACTGAACTTTTGTTCTTCAATTACCATAAAAAGAACACTAAAAATCCAAAGAACATCCTTCAGCTTCATCTCATTTTTAGGTGACAGATTTAACAGATCCATATAAATACAGCACAGGAGGCTTAACCCAGACTCAGGGCACCAGAATCTCGGTCCAAAATTCTGGTTAAAGAAAGCTGATCAAAGATGTAGACCACACTGGCCAACTAATGGCCAAGAGGGCACACCCAACCCCCAGAGGGTTAATTGGGTCCCCCCCAAAGCCCTCCCCATGCATGTTTTGTTTGTTTGCTGTAAAATAACTTTTTAATCATTATCTTTTCCCCACTGTCATATCTAACTGCTCTGCTAGGTAAAGGTAAAGGGACCTTTTCAACGAAATTGAAAATCTACATCAGACATTCAGAAACCAACAAGCCTGCTATCCCAGCCTGGTTAGCCCCCTAAAAATTTTGATACCCCATAATTAAATACAATATACTCCCATAGAGACTACCTTAAGGTAAAGGTAAAGGAACCCCTGACCATTAGGTCCAGTCGTGACCGACTCTGGGGTTGTGGCGCTCATCTCGCTTTACTGGCCGAGGGAGCCAGCATACAGCTTCTGGGTCATGTGGCCAGCAGGACTAAGCTGCTTCTGGTGAACCAGAGCAGCGCACGGAAACACCGTTTACCTTTCCACTGGAGCGGTACCTGTTTATCTACTTGCATTTTGAGGTGCTTTCGAACTGCTAGGTTGGCAGGAGCAGGGACTGAGCAACGGAAGCTCACCCCATCGTGGGGATTCAAACCACCGACCTTCTGATCAGCAAGTCCTAGGCTCTGTGGTTTAACCCACAGCGCCACCCACGTCCCTGCTCTGCTAGTGGTGCCCAAATGCCCTACAGTCCTTTAAACGATTTATAAGTGCTTATAGTAGCTTTCTGCTTTGTTTTCTCTCAGGAACCATCAGGAACCATCATGTCTCTTCATCAGGGATGGGAGCCAGACTGCCAGCCCCAGCCAAGGGCAAAACTGCCAGCAATAGGGGGCAAGTGTATTAGAGGTTTGAACTGAGCCAAGGAAAAGAAGGGAGGGCTGAAAAAGAAAGTGGACTGGAGGAGGAGGAGCAGAAAACACTCCCCTAGCAGAGTTGCCAGCAGAGAGAAGCAGGGAGGACAGAATCATAACCTTAAATCTAGGCAGGGCATGTTGCAGGCATGTGAACACATGTAGGGAGAGGGGTGTGGAATAAAACAGAATGATGCAACGTGGGAAGTTGGTAAAAAGCTCTCAGCTTCTCGTGGATGGCAAGAGCAGGGAGACCACCTTGCCAAATATTCTCCAGGGAAATAGTCGAAGGGGGGGAGGAACCACATTCAAAAATTGTCAAAAAAAATCTCTTCTGATAAATACTGGATGAGATTTTCCCTCTCAACTCTGTAACCTTGAGCACTTCACCAGAAAGGGATCCAGTACAAAGGAAAAAGAGATTAAAAAGAGGGAGATAAAAATAGCTCTAATGCACCACACAAGCACATACGCAAAAGTCAGCTGCAAGAAGTGGAAAGTTCCTAACGCATTCAACTCTGTCTTTATTAAGAGGGGAAATATTCAGTTCAGTCTATCATGGAACCTGCACAATGAAAAGCTACAGACTGAGGAAATCTTAAAAATATATGTATGAAATTACTGTAGTATGTATCTCTCCCCCCCCCTTTATTATTATTTTTAAAAAGGAAGGAATAACATGAATAACTACCCTTGTTAAAGATGCTGTCAAAACACACTGGGAAAATTTTCCCTCAATTTCTGAACAGAACTGACAATCCATACCCTAAGATGCCATTGCTGCATTATTCCACTGCTTCAGCACATGGGATTATGCTATGCAAATTAGCTGCCATAATTAGGTTGATAACAACACATTACAAACATAGCTTCCTTGTGACAACTTCTTCAGGACAATTGTTGATCCTAAAGAGGACCATGCAGCAATATTACTGCCACACCACTAAAAATTATGTTGTTATTAATTAATTCCATGTAGGATTATTTTTGTTTCTCAACCATGCTAGTTATGACAAAGCAAGTCATAGAGAAGTCACAAAAGAGAGGCTTTAGCGTGCAATATCTCCAGGCAACAGAAGAAGCAGAGATGACAACTTACCATGTGATAACTTCTTAGAGAAGAGGGCTTTTTTCAGCCAGAACTTGTTGGAACTCAGTTCCATCACCTCTCAGGTGGGCACCACTGCCATTCTAAGGGAATGAAGGAGGTGTTCATGGTGAGTTCTGGCACCTCTTTTTCAGGAAAAATCGCACTGCTAGAAGTCATTGCATATGGAACACATAAGCAATATGTCTGTGGACAGCTGGTAGGGTGTGCTCACATGCCCTAACTCGCCCCCCGCCCCCCAGGTTCTCTTGCTCAGTGACACTGGCCTCGTTAAGAGGGGAAGATCTGCAGGGGGTTTCTACTTGCAATCACTTATACAGAGGTAGAATCCTCCATGTGATCATGGACAAAGTAGCATCGCCGATTGCATGGAATTTTCTTCTTGCATTTGAGCAAACCCAAGTAAAAGTTCCCCACAGACCTTCCCCAATCAACATGAGGAAAGTAATGGACACAGCAGATGGGGTGGCATGCATGGGGAAATTGGGAGCAGGGTTTGTATGCATGTTCCATCCACCCTGAATGCAGTGGTTGGCCATGAAGCTCACTGGGTGACTTTGGGCCAGTGACTGCCTCTCAGGCTAATCCACCTCCCCACAGGGTTGTTGTGGGGATTAAATGAGGAGGGGGTACACCACCTTGAGCTCCTTGAAGAAAAAAGTGGGATACAAATGCAACAAATAATGCAATAATAATAATCCACATATATGGCATTGATACGTTGATGCCTTCAGTGAGCTGATCATCAGTAATGATCCTGTTTAGTGATCCTGTTTAGTGATCTTACTGCACCTCTGCTTCCTTGGATTGGGACCAGATGCAGAACCATATTGCCTCACTTAGCAGGGCAATAATGGTGACTGACTAGATAGTCTGGTAAATTATGTCTTGGTACATGGCCATACAACCATCAACCTATCTCTGTGCAATGCCATTGGTTTCCATGGAGAAGCTACTCAAAGGCCTTTCATCTTCTTTGACTGAACCATCTGTGTACCTCTCACTTCCCCTCATATTGCCAGCGAAAGTCTACTTAGTATTGATCCAAAGCAGATTCCAATGTATAGTTAGCAGAGTAAAAACTTAAACACGCTGCAAGATTCCCCCAAAATAGACCAGAGGCAATTATATTTCATCTAGCAGAGCTTTACTGCTACTGAAGGCAAGTGAACATAATGGTCACAATTCTAATATATTCAGGACTGGCACTGTCCATAAGAAATCCAGTTGCAGCAGACTTAAAATGTACAATAACTTATAATAAGTCTAAAACTTAACACTATAGCATACAGACCACCACACCAGACGGAAATGAGATAGAAAGAGAAAGTGAGGAACTCATGCTCCTTCTGGCCCTACTATTATACTTAGCATGACCTTGACAGAAAGAGATTAACAGAACCAGTTTAAACCAGCTGTACTCAGCTTCTCTGAAGGAATAACCCAAACATCATAAACCTTCTGCTTGCTTCTTTCACACAGAGAAGTTTGCAAAAGCTTCTTGGGCCCTCTTGAATTAAGTAGAATAGGAAAGATTTCTACACATCAGATCAATACTATCTGCACTAAGAAATGCATCAATGGTTCACCTTATAACATCAAGACCACTGGTCCATCCTAGTCTAATACTGTTCTCTGACTAGCAGAAGCTAAAGAAGATAGAGGTCTTTCCGAGACTTGCAACCCAAGATCTGCTATCTGGAGATGAACTAGGGACCTTTGGCATATTAAGTTCGACCATTAAGCTTTGGGGGTTCTTCTGACAAGAAATTACAAATCCAACAGTACTGGTAATCAGAGTGAATGGAAAATATATAGGATACCAGAGATACAATATTAGAGATACAGTTCATAGATAGGTGATAGAAAGATATGGATACAGTATACCCTCCAGTACCAAATCTCCACTGGATAATTTCACTGCTGTGAAAGAAGGAAAGCAAAATATGGGGAATTCACTTTGTGCTCGGCTTGTTTTTAACTGCAGGTCTGTTATTGTGCCCTGGTGGCAAAAAATTCAATAACACAGGTTGAGGTAGTTACCAGGATACTGTAATGAGGTCTGTTTTTTTATTTAATATCTTCCTAATAATTTACTACATTAATGAAATTTGTAGAGGATAATAAATTAGGAGGAGTTGTGACCATCCATTCAGTAGGCAGAAACACAAAGAGAACCAAAAAAGATTAATAGGCAGAAGACAGCAACATGAGATTCAATTTAAAGAGAGAGGGCGGAAGACACAAAAAGCCATCTAGGGAAATATAATCCAGAACACAAATAATGCAATGGGGGACAGTAGGGCAAAAGCAGGAGAAAGAGACCTAAATGGGCAATAGTAGCACAACATCGAGCAGACTTAACAAGCATTATGCTTAAAGGAGATCCACCCACAACAAATAAATCATTAAATGTTTATTTACCCTAATGCCTTTTCCTTTTCCTTATCCGGTTTGTGGTGCTGACACAGTAACTTTCTGGGTCCCAGTTGCATCATATCGTGGCTCTGGCCAGTGAGGAGACTGGACCCTGCTGCAATAGAACAAATAAAACATACCTCAAGAAAACCTCTCACGCATATCTTGGTGAATCTTTGATGTCTGTATTTGACATCCTCTGTAGTACTGCATGATGGGTTGCATGCAACAATATTTTGTGTCTGAGAGCATTTGTTAGGTAAGATGCTGCCGTTTTTGACAGATTAACCCTTATGCTGTTTGGGATTTGATGCATCCTAAAATCAAAAGCAGCAAGAGAACAAGAGTTTGGATTTGATATCCCGCTTTATCACTACCCTAAGGAGTCTCAAAGTGGCTAACATTCTTCTTTTCCTTCCTCCCCCACAACAAACACTCTGTGAGGTGAGTGAGGCTGAGAGACTTCAGAGAAGTGTGACTAGCCCAAGGTCACCCTGCATGTGGAGGAGCAGAGACGCAAACCCGGTTCACCAGATTACAAGTCTGCTGCTCTTAACCACTACACCACACTGGCTCTCAGAGAAGTCAAAAGCACTGACTTTGAAATCAGAAAAAAATCTTAATTTTTTTGTGAGCTTTCAATATTTGCTTCACCTTATTTGGTACTTAAAACGTATTGAAGGATCTGTAGGGCCAACATAGTTATGCTTTGGAAGCACGTCAGAATTAGGGATGTCCTGAAACACAACAAGATATTCCTCAAGGCTTCACTGAGATGGCATATTGTAATCTTACTGTCTGTATATATAATAGTGTTTATTAAGGCACACTCCTTCAGAAAGATGCCGACAATTATGGATAGACCTTATATGATCAATCAGCAATAATTTTCAATAAATGGCAGCCCTATTCTACCAAATGTTTCTTCTGCTTCAGGCACTTGCTACCTCCTAAGCTGTAGAAGGCTGGACCTTGCAAATACAGTCATACCTCAGGTTAAAGTTGCTTCAGGTTGAGAGTTTTCAGGTTGCGCTCCACGGCAACCTGGAAGTAACAGAATGCGTTACTTCCGGGTTTCGCCACTCGCGCATGCGCAGACGTTCAAAATGATGTCACGCGCATGTGCAGAAGCGGCAAATTGCGACCCACGCAGGCGCAGGCGCGGGTTGCGTTCTCTTCAGGATGTGAACGGGGCTCCGGAACAGATCCCGTTCGCATCCAGAGGTATCACTGTATTTAGAGCTGAGCATCTGAGCAACCAAGAATCATGGCAATGCAAATGTTCCACCAATCATGGTTAAAGTCAATGTGAAGAGAGAAGAGAGAGCACATTCCTAAGCCTTGATACTGCTTTTCAGCCTGTACTTTGCAGGGAGACAGCAGTAAGCATTGTTATAAGAAAAAACTTCTCCTTTTCCCTTATGGGGTACCCAAGAGCCTGTACGTAGGTTCTCTATTGGTAGGAGAAAATAACAGAGGCCAACCAGAGAATATTGAGAAGCAAAACAGCTAGTAAGCATGATCTTTATTAAACTGTTGCAACAGGGTGCTCACACACACACACACACACACACACACCACACACCCCACGCAGAAGGGAGGAGGAACCCAGAACAATGGTGTGCAAGCCCTTATATAGACTTTTGAAACTGCCATCCTGTAGCTCAAGACCACCCCTCAATACATCATACACACATCACAGAAGGGGCGGTCTACAGCAGAATCCTGTCTGGCAGGAAACCTGTTAATGGGTTTACCTGGACAGCCCGGCCATTCTTTTGTGATGATAAATATTTAATTCCTGAGTCCAGGTCACAGACTCACCCTATTCATACACAAATGTGCCCTTAAGGCAGGATTTGTGAGCACAGAGACATTGGGGAGGCTTTTCCCATTTCCATCCAAACTGCAGAGGAATATTTGAGGTCACTGAAAGAGCTTTAGGACTGTTTTCCTGTACTGTTTTCAGACATGTGGTTTATATATTTAAGTATGAGTTTGCCTGAACATTTATTTTATACCTTAGAACTTAAAATTCTCAAAACAGCATGAATTAGGTCCTTGTAATAAAAAGCATGAACTATGTATTACAACCAACTTCCCAGCAACTCTGTTGTAAAGTTCAGCTGGATCAATTTTCAGCCAAGTTTCAGTTTTTCAGGCCAAATGGTCACTCTGAACAAATGTACATCACACACACACACACACACACACACAGACACACATGCAAAACAGTCAAGAATTCCAAGGCTAAACACAATGCAAGACAGTCAAGCTATTATTGGTGCTAATTAGCGCTACGGCAAACCATATCATTCTTAAAATGTGGCCGGCAGAGCTCTGAAAAAGGCATGGAATTATTTCCCAGCCCTGAAAACATGAAAGAAAGAAAGAAAATCAAAGCAGCCGCTTTCAATCTGCTCCACACAACTAAATGAAATCCTTCATCAGTGCAAAAGGGCAAAAATGCATCAGCGGCAATTGAAAAGCGAGCTGTAATTCACAGATCCAAACACTCATTACAAAACTGATGAATGAAAAGCGTGTGTTTGAACAATACTAAGCAAGGGAAGAGAGAGACATTAAAGGGGGAGGGGTCAAAATCATGACACATGAGACGGCACATTCTCACAGTATGGTTATCCAAGAGAACATTTGAAGTTCCTTCAGCTAATGAGGGATGGTCCGCACATGGCCAGAACATGGAAGACATACATGAAATGAATTTCATGCCTTCGTTTGCATACGCTTTGGGGCCATGTATACATTTCCTTGTTAAGAACAAACCCTGTGAATAAATGCCTATGTGCACAAATTTCATTTACTTGAACCATACATCTCTTCACAGAAGAAAGCGTCACACAAGAGAGGCCTGATCACATTGGAATTTATTTACCGTATTTGTGGCATTTTCATCCTGCCTTCACAATACAGTGGTACCTCGGGCTACATATGCTTCAGGTTACAACTCCACTAACCCAGAAATAGTACCTCGGGTTAAGAACTTTGCTTCAGGATGAGAACAGAAATCACGCAAAAGTGGTGCTTCAGGTTAAGAACAGTTTCAGGTTAAGAACAGATCTCCGGAACGAATTAAGTTCATAACCCAAGGTACCACTGTACTAAACTAAATAAATGATACCACATGTTGAGTGACAAAGTCCTCTTAAGGCTGGTGGGAGCTGATGGCACAAGCTGTCTGGCCTGGGTCCCCTTGCTTCTGTCTTTGCTCAGGTCACAAAGGTCAGAAGCAGCCCCAGGCAAGATGATGGAGGGGCTGCCATAGAAGTTCTCTCAGGCTGTTGATGATTCTGTCAGGAGCCAATGGCTTGAGCTCCCTATCCTTACAGGTCATGAGTGTATACCCAGTTTCTACGTGCCATGAGGGAGGGTGTACAGGTTCACTTTCTTGTCGCATCATGCAGAGTGCAAACTCTTCCAGATGCTACCAAAGTTGTTCTGTTCCAACAGGTCCATTTTTGTCATGCCAAAGTTTGCCCAGAATAGCAAGGAGTCATGTCATTCATTGGACACATGTGCTTTATTTCTGCTGATGTTACCAAAATAGCACAAGATGTTACATTTCTGAAGTGATTCCCACACCACTAGGAGTGGACAATTTTTGGTTTCTCTCCATTCCTTCTTTTTTTAAATCTTAAATTCAATTATGCACATTTCCATATCAGCGCTCTCTCTCTCTCTCTCTCTCTCTCTCTCTCTCTCTCTCTCTGTGTCTGTCTGTCTGTCTGTCTCTTCCTTGTTAGGACTTTATTGTGCATTTCTCCTAATATACACATTTTTCTATGCAATTTTCCTAATATACATACAGTATTCTTGCAAGCCATTTTCCCTAATATAATTCACTTTTGTATGCTGTTTTCACTTATCTATGTATTTTTTTTTAATGCATGCTTTCCCCTAATATGTGCATCCTTGTACACATTTTTGGGTTGGAGAACTGCACCACAAAATTCAGACACCATGCAAATTTCAAAAGACAGCTGCATTTCAGTTTGTATATTGTTTCGGGAAGTGCGAATTACATAGGTTCACATTAAAAGGTGAACTGAACTGAATTTCTTCCCTGGCAATTTATCAATCATATGAGCAATATATGAAATTCCACAGATGTGTTCACAAGTCACTTGCATTACATCCCCTCAAAGTTTTGGATTACAGTAAGCTAACATGAAACTGCTGCTTTTGAATTATGGTGCTGGAGGAGACTCTTGAGAGTCCCATGGACTGCAAGAAGATCAAACCTATCCATTCTAAAGGAAATCAGCCCTGAGTGCTCACTGGAAGGACAGAGCCTGAAGCTGAGGCTCCAGTACTTTGGTCACCTCATGAGAAGAGAAGACTTCCTGGAAAAGACCCTGATGTTGGGAAAGACTGAGGGCACAAGGAGAAGGGGACGACAGAGGACGAGATGGCTGGACAGTGTTCTCGAAGCTACCAGCATGAGTTTGACCAAACTGCGGGAGGCAGTGGAAGACAGGAGTGCCTGGCGTGCTCTGGTCCATGGGGTCACGAAGAGTCGGACACGACTAAATGACTAAATAACAACAAACATGAAACAGTCACCCTACACATTCCTCCGTTAAATTACCCTCGTCATTACATAGTGTTTTTTCACCAGTCTTATCTCCCCAGTTGATATATTTCTTATGCTGAAATGATTAGTGCAAAGTCATGTTTCATTTATGGTTACGTTCTACTGGATGTTGATTTGAAAATTCAATAAAATATTTTTTAAAAACTACAGAATGACAAATACATGGAGGTTATCTTTAGGGCTTCTTGCATTTCTGTTCTTCTGTACCTGAGCTGCAATGTAAGGCAACACTATCAGTGTGAGAGGAGATTGGAATTCTGAGCAGATATTCATAAGGAATGAATCAGGTAATCTGAAAGAAAATGTCACACTAAGATTTTGAAGTAAGTTGTTAATATTTGCAAAAGATTTCCTAAAGCTCCAGAGAGACTTAAAACCAATATCAAGGAAAAAATCAACATGTGCTGAAAATATCATCATAGAATCTCACTTTTTGCCTGTCCTAGCTGAATCTATTTTTAAAGCCTTCATTATTCAAGGTTATTTTAACATATTTTTCACTTGAGAACTCTAACACATACTAATGGCATTAATTAGAAAAAAAACACACCAAATCCTTATGCAAGCTGCAGCTGCAATACAACATTGCAGTCTGCATATTTTTGTGTGTGTTGGATTTGGATGACTCAACAAACAGGGCTGGCAAAACACAGCTTGTTGTCCAAAGCAGCTGTGTTGTAGAATTCACGAGCTCATACCAGGAGTCCCTGCAGTTGTTACAACTTTGTACCCAAATTTATGTGGGAGTAGGGTCTTTTATAATGACCCCAGGCCAGAGCCAGTAGTGAGTAATTTCAAAATGGCAGTGTGGAGAAACAAGAAACAGCAGAGCGGTGGCAGCGCAAGAGGCAGTGCTGAAAGCACTTGCCTTTTCCCTTTCAATTAAAACAAAATGAAAAGGCAAGAAGGTTTCTCCCTCTATTTTCTCCATATTGTATCTTATGGCAATTGCTATCACCAGAGATAAACGAGTTTAAATCTTGGTACAAGTAAGACTTGAAATGAAGGTAATTAAAAGAGTTTTAGTAATGACAGTCCTGTTTGCTTCCTGCTTCATTTGTAATCTTCATCCCCAACATTGTTCCCTGATAAAAGGAAAGATTCAGTGTGTGAATTTTCTCCCTGACACTCTGGACCCAACTCTATTAACAGATAAACACGGCCTTCAACACAGCTACTAAACCATTCCTCAGAATCCTCACTTTTGCAGATTAGAATCTCTTGCTTCTTTCAAAACAACTCATTAGCCATAAACTGGTTAAGAGATAAAAACCTTTCTCCTCAAAGCAGAAACCAAAGGTTTTATCAGTGCTATCCAAGGCCCTGTTAACTGCTACCAATAATTATAAAATAAGTCAATATTCAGTAGAAGTTTCCAACATGGTGCCCTCCAAATGTTGTAGACCACGGGTTCCATTAGCCCTGGTCAGCAGGGACAATGGTCAGGGATTATGGGAGTTGCAGTCTAGCAACATCTGGTTGGCACCACCTTGACTAATGCTGATATGCACGTTTGTGTGCATCTTGCTCTAACAAGTTTCACTGTTCTGTTAGTTGCACAATAGCATTACCCACACTCTAAATATGGGGTTAGTTATAAAAGAGAGCAAGGCTATGAAGATCAGACTCTATGGGGCAAAGGAAACAGGCTGCAACTTGAGATACAACTGTGAAGGAGCTAAACCTGCCCAGTCTTTTTCCTTCAACGGTGCCCAGAATGCACCTCTGTAAGATGTAAATAGTGAGCATTCACATAACAGAGAAAGCAAAATTTTACACTTGGTGATACTCTCACAGAAAAGGTAAAATCTACCCTTCGCCCCAGATCCTATATATATATAATTTTATTTGCTTTTCTGTTACATACAATAACCAGCCAAATAATTCAATAGTCTCGACTTCCCTTCCCCTCCTTCCATGGTTTCTTCAGTTTCCCCTCTACTCCACATATTCTAAATATTCCATAACTTTCCCCCTCTTCTTCTTTTTGCCTCAATTTACCATATACTGCTGAATCTACTCTAAACTTGCTAACGTATTTACCTGTTTACACTGACTTTTAAAATAATCTACAAATATTTTCCGATCTTCCTTATAAGCCTTCACCCCAGATCCTAATGATCACCACAGTGTACTCATATGATGAACCATCTCTCCATCCAACAGTGGGAGCTGCAGCAAAGATCTTACCTAACCTGTATGTACTCAACGAGGTCATATGTCAGACAACTGAAGGAGTCAAAGCAGTAGCCTACTACCCAGAAAACATTTTCTGTTGCATATTCAATACAGATGTGAATCAGTGTAACAAAGTCTCTGTGTTCTCTTGAATAATGAAGGCACTATTTAAACATGGTGCCAGAAAGAAAGTGTCATTCTGAAGACAAAGGATCAAAGCAGCATAGATGTCAAGTGAAGCAAATAGTTTGCAATGGGAACCAGACAGATTCCATTTCTTAGGCTTCTGGCATACAATAAAGGGGACAATGGGAAACTTTTAAAATTGCCACAGAATTGAATGAAAAAGAGCAAAAATAAGTAAGTACTGCAACACTGCTGCTACCTGAGATACAAGAAATGGAAGATCCCTCCTAATAATTAGAAATAAAACAAAATGCATTTTGAACCAACAAAGAATGTGATGTATGAGCAAGCATGATGGAAGAAAGAATCTACAGAGACACCAAAAGTTTTGTTGCCAAATGATCCAAAATGGCTGGCACTTGTGTGAACATGGCATTTTGAAAGAAGAATTGAACAGAGACAGGTGGTAAAAATAATAGATTCCAGGACAGAACACATCAAAATCCTGTATTAAATGCTACAAGGAGCCATAGATATGCACAAAGTTCTTCAATAAGTTCAATGACAAATACAAGTGAAAACCCATCAGAATGTAAGAATATGCATTACATCCACAAAAATAAATGTAAGAAACAGACAAATACTATTGCATAAGAACAGCAAGGAGACAAGCAGATTGTGAAAGCAAAGTTGAGATAATGACCCTGGCAATCTGCAGCTTTGGCACGGTGTGTAGAAGTTATGGAAGAAAAATCATTATGCTGAATTTCACAAACACTGTATAGCCGCGGTTCTCAACCTGTGGGTCCCCAGATGTTGTTGGACTACAACTCCCATCATCCCTGAGCTCTGGCCTTGCTAGCTAGGGGTGATGGGAGTTGTAGTTCAACAACATCTGGGGACCCACAGGTTGAGAAAGGCTGCTCTATAGCAAAGGAAATCCATATAGCACATCAGAGTGAGATAAACACCAATGGCTTATGCAGAAGTTCTGTAGCAAGGATGAGGAAACCTGTGACTCTCCAAATGTTGTTGGAGGATGATGAAGAGGAGGATTAGAATTTATATACCACTTTTTGTATATAATTTTTTATTAAAATTATTGAACATTCCCACAATAAACTTCAAATCACACAATTACATTGTTTCATAAGCTGACTGCCCACCATCACCTAGAAAGTGTTTTCACTCAAACCTTTCCTATTACGTTATACTTTTATCCAGAGCTATTTTTCTAGAAGAAGAGATGCCAGAACTCACCATGAACGCCTCCCTCGTTCTCTTAGAATGGCAGTGGCGCCCACCTGTGAGGTGCGGAACTAAGTTCTTGTGAGTTCCTGCTGAAAAATGCCTTTCTTTATCTACTGCAAAAAGTGTCTCTGTTACAATTATTTTATTATTTTTCTTCTGCTGCTTTTATCTCGAATCCTACCTGGGATTTCATTTGACTGTAATATTTTGTTTTATTTTTTAATAGTCCATGAGAGACAGCCACTTTTCATTTAAAGAAGACAGACTACAACCCCCATCAAAACTACTCAGGGTAACTGTGGTCAGAAGAAGAAGAAGAAGAGTTTGGATTTGATATCCCGCCTTTCACTCCCTTTAAGGAGTCTCAAAGCGGCTAACGTTCTCCTTTCCCTTCCTCTCCCACAACAAACACTCTGTGAGGTGAGTGGGGCTGAGAGACTTCAGAGAAGTGTGACTAGCCCAAGGTCACCCAGCAGCTGCATGTGGAGGAGCAGAGATGCGAACCCGGTTCCCCAGATTACAAGACTACCGCTCTTAACCACTACACCACACTGGCTCCCACAGTTCCATGTTTTGTGCAACATGACCCAGACTGAAGTGCTAAAGCAAATGGGAGAGAGGAGGGCAAGGAGGGAGCATGTGGGGCTGACATTCATTCCAGGCTTAAGGCTTTAATAAGCCAGGAACGCCAGGCTGAAACTGTCTCATTGTAACAAAACACATTTTCTCGAACAGGGTACTATTATAACCAGACATAAATCACACAGAGATGCACTACACATGCATGCGTGCATAAATGAAACACACCCAGGCCTCTTGCAATCTCCCACCACAGGCACACTCACTTGTTAGCGCTGCATTTTGTTAGTAAGGAAAAAAAGAAAAGAAAAAAAGACCACAGATACAGATGGTTGTAGAAAACGCAATGACAAATCAGAAACAATAGAACATGTAATCACCAGCTTCTCTGTCCTATCCAATACAGAACATTTTGCCAAAGGCAATCAGTCTGCAAAAATGTTTCGCTAAGAGCTGGGTAGGCTGCATCAACTAATCATTTGAGAACTGCTGCCTTTCTACAAATCAAGTCAGTCCCTACCCAGTTCTTGGGAAGAGCAATTACACCTTATGCTTGGGATAATTCTGCTGTAAACTGATAAAAACAATATGATACAATAGACCAGATGCAATACTATGGAATTAAGAGAACAAAACTGTTGTTAAAGATACTGAAATCTCTCACAAATCTCTCTGAAGCAACTAATAATTTGATTTTTTAAAAAATGAATGTAGCCATGGGAGTAGAACGATCATAGAAAGATAAGAAAATGATCATATTCCCTTTCAGTAATCAGCTATGGGAGTTAACCTGAAATGAAGAATGGAAGCTGAGAAAGTTACCATGGAAAAAAGTCACACCAGAAACACTTGAGGAATTTGTTCTTTGCATATTCTGGTCAAGGCTGATCTGACCTGCACCTCCTGGAGCAAAGTGCAGATTGGAAGGTAGAAGTTCATTAGATGTTCTACTTCTCTAATTTTTGGGTTGCAGTTCTTGGCTAAAAAAACATACCAAACTTTGTATAAAAATATGTACTTTAGGACACATACATGGGGGGTGGATAGTAGAAATGCACATTTGGGGGAACATAATTTTAGAAATGAATGTTTTGTGAAAAAATACATGTTTAATATGATTTTTTAAAAATTATTTTTTGGGGGAGAGAATGACAAATTAATGTGGAAGCAGGATGAGACATGGGCCCATGTGAAACAAATATGGGCCAGAAAAACAATGCAAAACAGCTGCCTTTCTTCCAACTTGTTATATCAGAAAATCCCTAAGTTACAGGAGATTTCATACAGAAAGACCCTTGGGGTGCAAATTCTCTACCTGAATGAGCACTCGCAGAACTATGACAAATACCTTTAATCAGTGCTTTTTTTTTCTAAAAAAGAAATGTTTTGGGATGCTCTCATTTTCCTACTCATATTGAAATGCTGCCCCTCAATGAGGCCAAACTTAGATTCACAAACTGTTTAGGGGTATGTGTACCCCTGCGTCCCCCCAGAAAAAAAGCACTGCCTTTGATAATTAGCAACAGGTTAATCTTAGAACATGGTAAATTATAAGCCCCTCCAGGAAAGATTATGCCCTATCAAATGTAAGCAACATGGCTGATGGTTTTTTTAAAAAAAGGATACTAAAAGCAGCACCTTCACAGTCACACATTTGTTCTCAGGGGTTAATCAGAGTTGTTGCAGCAAGCTGATCAGTCAAGCATCTCATGCCCCAGTCTCCACCATCTCAAAATAGCCCTGCCATCACTAGTGCCAAAGGTAAGGTAAAGGTAAAGGTACCCCTGCCCGTACGGGCCAGTCTTGACAGACTCTAGGGTTGTGCGCTCGTCTCACTCTAGAGGCCGGGAGCCAGCGCTGTCCACAGACACTTCCGGGTCACGTGGCCAGCGTGACGGAGCTGCTCTAGCGAACCGGCACCAGAGCAGCACACGGAAACGCCGTTTACCTTCCCGCTATAAAGCTGTACCTGTTTATCTACTTACACTTTTACGTTCTTTTGAACTGCTAGGTTGGCAGGAGCTGGGACCGAATGATGGGAGCTCACCCCACCGCGGGGATTCGAACCGCCGATCATGCGATCGGCAAGTCCTAGGCGCTGAGGTTTTACCCACCCGCGTGCCAAAAGTGCCAAAGGTAGGAGTCAGTTAAGTCTCCTGGCTTCTAGAATACTGCTGGTCGTGTTGCTATTGGTGATGCTGTCAACAGAGAGCTAAGCAGAAAGGTAACAGAACTTAATGCAGAGTCTGTTGGAAAGAAGAACAGGGTGTCCAGAGGGAATGATGTTGTGGCTTGGTAGAGAAATAAAGATTGATGGAGATGGCAGTTGAAACAGGCTTTGGAAAATGGTACCCATTTATCTAGGGACGTGGGTGGCGCTGTGGTCTAAACCACAGAGCCTAGGGCTTGCCGATCAGGTCAGCAGTTCGAATCCCCACGACGGGGTGAGCTCCCATTGCTCGGTCCCAGCTCCTGCCAACCAAGCAGTTCAAAAGAACGTAAAAGTGTAAGTAGATAAATAGGTACCGCTCTGGCAGGAAGGTAAATGGTGTTTCCGTGCGCTGCTCTGGTTTGCCAGAAGCGACTTAGTCATGCTGGCCACATGACCCGGAAACTGTACACCTGGCTTCCTTGGCCAGTAAAGCGAGATGAGCACCGCAACCCCAGAGTCTTCCGCGACTGGACCTAATGGTCAGGGGTCCCTTTACCTTTACCCGTTTATCTAGTAGCCTACAGTGGGATATGGTGCATAGGATAGCCTGAAGGACCCAGTATTCTCCTAGTCTTCCATCGTATGAGATTACCATACCTTCCAATATTTCTCCTATGAAAATAGGGATGTCCTATTCCACAACAACAACAACAACAACTTCTTTATTATTTATACCCCGCCCATCGGACTGGGTTGCCCCGTCACTCTGGACAACTTTCAACATATATATAAAAACATAACAAAACATTAAACATTAAAAAAAAAAACTTCCCTATACAGGGCTGACCTCAGATGTCTTCTAAAAGTTCTGTCATTACTTATTTCCTTGGCTTGGGGGTTGCATAACTCCATACCTTCCAACATTTCTTCACTGAAAATAGGGATGTCCTACCATACCCTTCAACATTTCTCTGACGTCCTAAGAAAAACCGGGATGGCTTCTGTAAATCCAGGACTGTCCCTGGAAAATAGGGACACTTGGAAGGTCTGAATTATTCTTTGTTCAGCTTGGCCACATAGAGCAGAAAAGGAAGAAATGAGATTACAGTACAGTACATTAAATAAAAACTAAAAAAAAATCCCCATAATGCATGCATGAGGGAAATGAACCAAACAAAAACAACTACCAGACCTTTAGAAGACATCTGAAGGCAGCCCTGTTTAGGGAAGCATTTAATGTTTGACAGACTATTGTATTTTAATATTTTGTTGGAAGCCGCCCAGAGTGGCTGGGGAAACCCAGCCAGATGGACAGGGTATAAATAATAAATTATTATTATTATATTATAATTAAATGGACTGGAATTACCAGTGTGAGTTTGTAGGGCAGTTTCAAAGTATGGTAGTTTGGTCATTTCCTCAAGAAAAAAAGAGTTTTACAGCTTGTCTGAGGGAGGGCTGGGGGACAGACAATGCAATTCCCCAATTGCAAACCTTCAAACCAGCCTTGCCTTTCAAATTCAGTGACAGCCATTCTAATGTGTCATATTTTATTGACAGAGCTATGTCACATTGCTGAAGGGGAATTATGATAATTCTGCATTTTGAGTAAGCTGCTTGAAATGTTATTGCTTTAATATTTAGTTTTCATACCAATGTACATAGTAAAATGACCAGAGGGGGTAGCTGTGCTTGCTGCAACAGGTGTCTACTAAAATACATTATATAAGAAACAGCAAAAAAAAGTATTGTGGCACCTTTTAAAAGATCAAATTTATTATGGTACAAGGTTTCCCTGAACTATAGTCCAATTCATAACCTTTTCACGCATCTGATGAAATAGACTGTAGTTCATGAGAGCTTAATTCATAATCAATTTCTTAGTCTTTCAGGTGCAACAAGACTTTTTGTTGTTTGTAATACAGTAAATTTTAGTCATCACCTTGTCATTAAAAACTCTAACTGCCCTGATTTTTCAGGCCTGCCGTGGAAAAAGTACAATCAAGCGCTGAATACAATTACACAAATATCCTCAGAACAGGTAAACCTGAGGGGGAGATAGCAAACCTGTGACTCACCAGACTCCCACAATATCATGCCTATTCCTTGTCAGTGACGGCAACAAAGAAAGGATACTTCTTCACTACCATTGCATCTTTAGAAGCTCCAGCCAGCAGAGCAGGGCCTATTCCAGCTGGGGCTGGCCAAAGGGGTGGGGGTGGTATGAGAGCTCTCAGAAGCATGCCATGATGTGTTCTCAAGACATTCAGAGAATAAAACCAGTTTCGTCCACCTTGCCTTGGATGATGCCAATTTTATTTCAGTCAATGAGTGTGTCTGGAGCACCATCTGGTCCTGTCTTGCAGGACAAGTTTTGGGTATCACAGCTTGAATGTGTGGATGAAGCTTCTGGAGGGGAATGACCGATCGAATGTTTGTCGAATGTTTGCTCAGACCTTCATGGCTGATAGCATCTAGCTCAGTGGGGTGGACCTTCTGGGAGCAAGGGCGATTAATGCCTCTTTGCCAGCTGCCTGGAAAGAGGTAGAAATGATGAGCCTGTATCTAGAAGTCAGCAATAGGCTGGATGAAGCCCAATCAATAGCCTGCTTCTGATTTTCTCTTTGCCCAGGCAGGCACATTATGTGACCCATGAGAGCAGCAAAATAACCAGACTGTACAATGGCCATGGGATAAAATCAGGCCAAATCCTTATTGACAGCAGTGGGCAGGGCAAGGGATGGCATGGCACTGGGTCCCAGGATCAGTTCATCATTCCACAAGCCCCATGTTGATGGAATGGATCTGCTGGGTTTGGATCGCTCCAAACCTGTACGACAGGAGTCAGCCAGTGTTGAACCTTGCAGTACCAGCAAGCAAGTTCTCACTGGGGGACCAGGGGGCAGTTTGCAACCAGGCAGATACCAAACCCATGCTTAGGTTTTGCTGCGGTCAATGCTCCCCTCAGGCCCCTTATGCCCCCCCAATACTATGTTGATCCTGTCCAATGCCATTTCCACAATGTTCTTCCGCCTAACAAAGGAAAGCCATAATTTCACTGAGGGAAAGGCTGGGGGGAGGGGACAACCCAACCAAGTGCTAATCAGAGAGAGAGAGAGAGAGAGAGAGAGAGAGAGAATCCTTTCCGACCCTGTCAACCAGTGACCCAAAATTGCTCAGTGAGGGCTCTAACCCAAGGGTGAGCAGGCAGGAAGCTCTCAAAGCAAAATGGCTGTGAGCTCCAGGGGAAGTAGCCTTATACAGTGGTACCTTGAGTTACAAATGCCTTAGGTTACAAACACTTCAGGTTACAAACTCCACTAACCTGGAAGAGTTACCTCGAATTGAGAATTTTGCCCCAGGATGAGAACGGAAATCGTGTGCCGGTGGCACAGTGGCAGCAAGAGGCCCCATTAGCGAAAGCACGCCTCTAGTTAAGAACAGTTTCAGGTTAAGAAGGGACCTCCGGAACGAATTAAGTTCGCAACTAGAGGTACCACTGTATAGCCTTTCCTCTCCCCTCTTCAGCAAGGGCTCATGAGGCAGTTTTTTCCTATGAGCCCATCACACAGAGAAGATACTGGGCAAAACCATACCCAGTATTTTGCTGCAATCTATGGGCACAGTGCCACCGGGCAAAGGCGTCCCGTGCTTATTTGGCACAGAACAGGGCTTCCCTCACCAACCCTCTTTAGTGGCAGAATGTGCTTTAACATGTTAGGCTACAAGAGGAATCTCAAATGATGCTGCCTTGTGACCTTACGGTGCTTGTGAAAAAGCTTATATTATGCTAAAGTTTTTGCTGCTGTTTTATGGAGTCTGCTTTATAAGTTTTAAATGGCTTTAAGTGTAAGGTATTGTTCTTTTGGCTGGCTTTGTTATGTGTCACACTCAAAGGATTTTGTATGTCACCTGGAGACTCCTTCTGTGGCAAGTGACTAAAAACTGGAAAAATAACAACACCACCTACCACCTTGAAAGCCTTTCCAATTAACACAAAGCAAAGCAAAAACCTATGTAAAAATATTTTTACATAGCGTGTGCGTGCTTGCGTGCGTATGCACACACACAAACACACACACTTCAAAAACTATGAAACTGATTTCACGATATGGACTTGAAACTAGTTGTGGACAATTTATTGCCCATCCCCAGCACACATCATGATTCGCAAAATATAGCAAGGTAAAAAATTATGAAATTGATAGCACAATATGGACTTGAAACCAGTCCCAAATTAAAGACTTAAATGAAAAATTGCTGTTTATGGATACTGCAAGATTTTCATGAATGCACTCATGACTGATAATCTTAATTACCCTCTCTCTACATTTATGCTTTACAGAAAACACTGCATTAAAAATGGAGCCCCACCCCTCTCTCTTTTTTTGCTAACAATTCTAGTATTTCATCCCATTTAATTTCTCGTCTCATACATATATGTGCTGAATGTTTACATCTTTCACAACAGTGCACAAAACAGACATCTTAGGAAATTAGGTACAAGCGCATTTGCATCTCAAAACAGGTCAAGCTAAATCAATTCCACATAAATTATGTTTGTTAGACACAGGGATGCTACGGGCCTAGGGGCACAATCTGTGAAATTAGGCACGCTTCAACACCCTTCCAAAATGGCAAGGTAACTCTGCATGACTGCAGAGAGAGAAGAAAGTGCTGGTATGCAAACTTAAATCGTGCTCCATTCTTCTTACTGAAAAAAGCGCCAAATATACTAATGCCCCAAAATACTATGTATAATACATTAACTCCTCATGTCTGAATATGTAAGGAATTGAAAGGGATTTTTTTTAGATGGTCAGCCCCTCAAGACCAGGACTTTACAAATACTAATAGCTGTATCCTATGAAGTCATTGAACAAGTAGAGAAACATCCACTTACGCAATGGAATTTAACCCGTCTTGTTCCCCACATAGCCCTCCCCCAACTGTTTGGAGGTTCTGCCAACCCTCAGGATCCGATGTGAAGTGAAGGGGGCACACAGAGGGAGAAGAGGCATGGGACATTCTATTTCATGAGCAGAAGTTGTTCCGCTTGTACAATGGCTGTCAGATTCAACCCTATGTGCCTACATGGTGATGTGACAGAAAGGAAGGCGGGTGGAAAGTCTCTCTTCTATTTCCCTTACACACTTTTGCTGCTGTTCATATCACCAACTTAAGGGAAGGAATGGGAAAGGATAGTGTGTGGGGGTGGGGCTGAGACTGGGAGGGGTTGGCTGTCTTTTGAGAACTGGAGGCGGCAGAAGCAGGCTACCCTGTTGATTTAAATCTGAGCATTTGGGAGAGCTTCTCTTCACCCTTCCTTGTGTTTCTTGAGAAGCCGCCCATGCTACATGACAAACAGCTTTTTAAAACTAATTTAAAAAGAAGTTTCTGACATAATAAACAGGTCTGCTGGTTTAAAGAATCAAAAGAGAAAAGCACTGGGCATGCCTAGAGCGGCTCGTTGAATAACCACCACAGTGGTTGTCATTTGACTTTAGCATCTGTAATTCTGTGGCAATGGAAGGACTGGCATTACTTAAGCAGCTGCACGTGGGAGACCAAATGCTTATTTTGCAACACACGTCTGCTCTTGGACAAGGGAAGTGAGGCTTACCTGGCAACGCCATTTCTCTTGGCAGGTTGGAAGACAGGACTCTTAACATCCCCTTGCTATCTCTGGGTTGGGGGAAGGTTGATGCACCTGAAAGAAACCACACAAGTGAAACATGCTGAATTGGCATGCTTAATCTACATGTTTATGGTCTAAAATCTAGACTGTTGGATCTTGTCGGATGCTCTGCAAAGGGCTTCACAGGACCCAACCATCAGCTATTGGGCAGATGTTGCAAAGCCCACTGGAAAGCACTTTACACAGTCAGTTGGCTGGTGGTGCCTGCAAACTCCATTTGAGCTGAGCCAGGATTTCGAGCAGGTGGGCATGGCTTAGCTTGAAATGGCCTTGCAGGCCAAATGGCGATGCCTGGCCAGGCCCAGTATACCCAAAGGAGCGCTCCGCCCCCATCATTCTACCCAGACACTGAGGTCCAGCACTGAGGGCCTTCTGGCGGTTCCCTCACTGCGAGAAGTCAAGTTACAGGGAACCAGGCAGAGGGCCTTCTTGGTAGTGGCACCCGCCCTGTGGAATGCCCTCCCACCAGATGTCAAAGAGAACAATAACTACCAGACTTTTAGAAGACATCTGAAGGCAGTCCTATTTAGGGAAGCTTTTAATGTTTGATGCATTACTGTATTTCAATATTTTATTGGAAGCCACCCAGAGTGGCTGGGGAAGCCCAGCCAATAAACAATAAATTTATTATTATTATTATTATTATTATTATTATTATTTAGGCCAACAGCCAACAGCCAGACGTTCCCAACTCCAGACCTAAAAATTCATGGAATGAATATTTTCTAAATATCTCTCTCTTGTGGCCTGATATATAGCAAACTACCCCCCCCCCCAAGATTCATATAAGTGACAATTAAATTAAGTCATATTACAGACATCAGGTCAGAAGACAGCAGAAAACAGCAACACTATTTTTAAAGAATCAGTCTGTTCAAATATATACATATAAACAGCTTGATGAAAAACAGTTACCATCGAGTTGCTGAATAAAAATTGATCAATAATTTTGGAATGACTGACAAATCATATTAGAAAACTTGTCTTCAGAAACGACAAAAATATTTGCAGTGCAGAAGGGTAGGAGTCTCAATTTGTTGATGAAAAACTGAAGGATCCTCCAGGAGAGGCACGATAACGACACAAGCTGATAATGAAAGGGTCACCCATGCAAGTTGCTTAATTAACTCTTTTTATGAAATGAAATGCTTGCAGTCAACTGTGAATTCTATTCCCACAGCTGCGAAAAAGCTGTCAGAGCACATGATGTTTCTATCACCAAGGCAAAAAAAATTTTTTTTTAAAAAGTGGGTGGCGTAGAACTGCTAAGTGTAAACAGATACCATGATTTCTTACAGAGAAGAGAGTTTCACTTCTGGTGGATTGTCCACTGAAAACCAATCGAGCAAATTGTACAAAATGGTTGCCAGATAAACAACAATGATCATGCCACAAGATCCCAGATTCTGGACATGTAATGTCCCTTCAGTACTACAATAGCTAGATGGCCACATCCTTGAACTATATCCTCATCTATTTGTTACCTCCCTGGAAAAGACCTTGATGTTGGGAAAGATTGAGGGCACAAGGAGAAGGGGATGACAGAGGATGAGATGGTTGAACAGTGTTCTCAAAGCTACAAACATGAGTCTGACCAAACTGCGGGAGGCAGTGGAAGACAGGAGTGCCTGGCATGCTCTGGTCCATGGGGTCATGAAGAGTCGGACACGACTAAACGACTAAACAACAACAACAACTATTAGTTCACTTGTCCCTGCCATAAAGAGGAGAGAACGAACTTCTGACTCCCCTTGTCTCCCTGTTTCTGTCTCTGTTTGTTTGTTTGTTCCATCCCTTCTCCCGATTCCTCACTCTTGTGTATGGCTGGTGCCATTTTGGGCTGACACACGACAGCACTCACAACCTCAACACTCAAAATAGAAGGAATAATGAGGGGAATTCTGAAATAGGCGACAGTGTGTCAACCATATTAATTATCAACCAGGTATGAATTATCAACTACTTACATTTATATTCCCAGTCAAATAAATTTGCAGTTATAAAAACAAAACAAATAAAGCCTTTGAAGTGTCTTGAAAAACAAGAGGGAAAGAAAACCCCAAGAAATTATAATCAAACGCAAGCTGAAACAAGAACATCAACACAAAAGCCACATGGACAAGGACAAGTCACGTAGATCTTTTCTGTCCAATGGGCACCCTGCAAATTAAGCTATGAGTTGATTGGGGGAAGCCCCACATGATTAGCTCCATCCATGTGGGTACCATGTTCACACATAACTACAGGGCAGCCAAGTGAGACACCAACAGAAAGCAACTCTAATGCAGCACTCTCATTCGTGTGTGTGTGTGTGTGTGTGAGAGAGAGAGAGAGAGAGAGAGAGAGAGAGAGAGAGAGAAACAGACAGACAGACAGACAGACAGAACAAATGAATGAATGAACAAACGAATGATACACACAGTGGTATAGTAGAGCAGAAAGGGGGAGACAGAAACAAGATCACATCATCTGCTGGTGCATCACCAGCAATTACATCATCTGACATATCTCTGTGGTCCAACAAGTGAATGAGGTGAAAACAAGGCTTTCAAGTTTTACAATCATTTGTGACATATTAACATGGAGGGAGTTGCAGAAAATGAAATCAAGCAGCAATTGGATAGTTATTTCCTTTGATGGGGTTCGGCTTCATGCTTGCAGCTTGAATAGCGACACGTGTGTGCAAGATGGTTTGCATTTCTAATTAAAACCTAAACTTTGCATTTCAACACAGTGCCAAAGCCCAATGTGATTTTAAAGTTGAACCCATGCAGTCAGAAGCAAGCATTCCATGCAGTTTACTACCAGCCAGCTATCCATAAGATTGTGGCCTAGACTGCTCTGCCTGCTTTCTTTTAGCAAATGTTTTGTGCCACTGGGGAAGCGGCAATTCTGTATTGATTTGTTTTGGATGTTTGTATGTGATGCCAATAAAAGGTTTGATGATGATGATGGTGATTGTGGTCATGCCACACAGCTCATTAGAGACATGAACCTAGGTCCCTATAGCTAAATGCCAACACGTTAACCCCTACAACATCCTTTACCTGCATACCCCAATCAGCTGGGTATGACAGCTTCATTTTTTAGCTTTCCTTGGGGCAAGGGTGGCTGTCATTGTGAACTTCTGTGCTTCAAAATTTACCACCACTCCATTATGAGAGAGAAAGAGAGAGAGGCCTTAGGAGCACAAGACATTGAACTTGTTCTAACAACCCAGTTTGCAACACAATTTGAGTTATTCTGTAATACAGCAGTGCTACTGTCCAACTGAGCCCCCCTCCCTCAAGCAAAGACATAACAAATCACTGAAGCTTTCAGAAATCCTGTAGAGTCTCATCAGCTGGTTTTCTGATTAAATACTTCTTTCTTGATATTGTCAGACTGTTGCAGAACCGTTTGACAATTCTCTCATGAGCCACAAGAAACAAGATGTTTTGAACAAAACCTGTGGATGTTTTCTTCCTGTGGTGCTTTTGAAAGCTCGTCTTTGACAGATTTTGCTCCCAAAAGATTGATGTCATAATGGAAGTTACACAAAAAGAGATGAGGAGAAAGAATACAATGGATATGCTATCCTTTTAAAAAAACAACAGAAAATATTGTTATTTTACCCTGGAACCTCCCTCCTCCAAACACCATCTCTAATAGACAAATGAAGTTCAGCATACACAGGATAGTCTCTTAATTTGACTGGTTTTCAGAGGAGAAAATGCTGTATCAGTACACCCACTGAAGCAGTTTTGAAACCTGACTTCAATATTTAAAGCTACAGTGGTACCTCGGGTTACAAACTTAATTCGTTCTGGAGGTCTGTTCTTAACCTGAAATCAGTCTTAACCTGAGGAGTGCTTTTGCTAATGGAGTCTCCCACTGCCACCGTACTGCCAGCACGCTATTTCCGTTCTCATCCTGGGGCAAAGTTTGCAACCTGAGGTAACTACTTCCAGGTTAGCGGAGTTCGAACCCGAAGCGTTTGTAACCCGAGGTACCACTGTACAATTATACACCCATACAGCTTTGTAACCCATGGGAAGACTGATACTGCTACCCAACTTGCTATTTCTTATTTCAAGGCAACTCATGAAAATGCATTATAAACATCTATACATTCCTAGACCTTTGCTGAAAACCAGGTGAACTCTTCTTACCTGGTCATAAATCTATATTGAGAACCTTAATGCACCTGCATTTTTCTAATAATTGTTGAATTATGTTCACAATGCAACTCTCACGCTCTGCCTCGAGTGGGAATATTTATCCTAAGGATTATTTATTTATTTAAAATAATCATCCTTCCCTCCTTCGCCTTAGCCCCAAGAGTTAATAAACTCTGGTTTGTTTTTTGTAAGAGAAAAGGGAAGCTTGTACAGTGGTACCTTGGTTCTCACACTTAATCTGTTCTGGAAGTCTGTTCCAAAACCAAAGCGTTGCAAAATGGATTAATACGTTCCAGACTTTTAAAAACAACCCCTAAAACAGCAATTTAACATGAATTTTAGTATCTAACGAGACCATCGATCCATAAAATGAAAGCAATAAACTGCAGTCACACAATCAAACAATCAGTAGCTGAACTGGGTTCCACACAGACACAAAAAGAAAAAAAGGGAGCCACAAAAATGCAAAATAAATAGCAAAACCAGACAGACTTCAGCGTAACACTCCAAATGGAAGCATGGAAAACCAGAGTGTGGCACTCAAATTGGAAGTGTAACACTCCAAACAGAAGTGTGGCACTCAAATCAGAAGTGTAACACTCAAAATGGAGCTTGTTCGGCTTCTGAAAAAAAGTTTGCAAACCGGAACACTTACTTCCAGGTTTTCAGTGTTTGGGTTCCAAGTTGTTTGAGTACTAAGGCGTTTGAGAACCAAGGTACCACTATATTCAAAGTAAGGGCTTGTCCTGTGCCTAGAAAGCATGAGTCTGATAGCTTTACTGTTTGTCCCATATTTTCTAGGCACAGGGTCCGAGAGGTTTTCCATTTACCCTGCCACTTTCCTCGGGAATATTTGCTCTTTGCCGCCAAATCAGAGCAAACATCAATCCGCAAAGAAAACTCCATTGACATTTGTTCCGATTGAGTGGTAAACAGTGAGTTTCCCCGAGGAGAAGCAACAGGACAAACAGACGTGTGGAAGAGAGGGGAAGGGGAGCATGTGTGTCTGATTCTTACCATGCAGAGCTAAAATGTCCTGTTCTTGTTGGACGCCAACTCCCAACAGGCAGAATAGTGAGAATGGAGGATATAACCCAACAACGTCCACAGATGCTAGGGAGTTTTTGGACCATCTCTTCCCAACAGATTCCGCAACATTACCGAACAGAGACTCTGTTTTTTTTCTTCTGTACCATTATTACAGTCTATGTAATTCTAATTCTAATTCTCATTCTAACAAAACAACCAGGGCTTTTTTCCCAGCCAGAACTCTCTGGAACTCAGTTCCAGCACCTCTCAGGTGAGACCTTTTTGCCATTCTGAGAGAACAACAGAGGTGTTCACGGTGAGTTCTGGCACCTCTTTTTTAATAATAATAATAATAATAATAATACAGTAATACAGTTCCATATTTAAACATTGGGTTGATTAAATTCCTTAATGCTGACACGCATATGACAAACTGGAAAGAGTGAGTGCCATAGGCTAATTGGGACCATCTTCTAATCACAGGCCATTTCACAGAGTTAATAATACAAAAAGCATTCATTAATTGGTAATTAAATATCCAGGATGCACAGGCTGTCAAAACTGGAAAGCCAAAATCATCCTTCATACACTCTGGCCCTCACTTTCAGGGCACACAACATCACTGCTGCGCCAAGCGAGACGGCGGCTTTTTCCAAGCTGAAGGAAGCTGGCAAAAAGCCAGCAACCGATTTAGCTACTAGTGTCAGCTTAGTGGCACGACGATTAGATAGATAGAGAGATAGATAGATAGATAGATAATCTTCTTTCAGAAGGTGTAGAAGACCAAAAGCAACTTTTCCATTTATGATTCATCAAATATTTCCAGGAAGCACAAATTCATTTGGGTTGGCAATCTCCCATGAAAAACCAGTCTGGAAATCAATTCAGAAATCCACATCAGGGCAATGCCTTTATTTGACTGATCAAAATGTCACAAAAGGGGCAGAGCTGTGCAGGTTTGCTTACCAAAGAAATTGAATGTAGGATCTTTCATTTAGTCCCAACATTGTAATAAAGCCCCATGCTTGCTCAGAGCAGCGCTGGGTTCTTTGCTAACCAGATTCCAGGCAGACAGGGCTTCCTGAAGTAACCATGTGATCCTGCAGCACTGCTGAAATCTTGTCAACTGAGAATGAGCACAGGCTTTTTCTAGCATTTTAAGAACTAAAAAAATATGCTCTTAAAGCAAGGGATGGGCAACATGTAATCTTATGTTCTCTCGGTTTCTCACTTCTTTCACTCTTAATAATAGTAATAATAATTTTATTATTTATACCCCACTCACATTTCCACTTTAGTTTGCTTTTAAAAAAAAAGGTGCACATGAAAATTCATCTGCGTTTTAGTGTGACTTTCACCTAATATACACATTTGTAAATTTGCAAATTTGCAAAACTCCATACACATTTCTGCAAAGCAATTTTTCCTAACCTAACAATTTCTGTGGATTTCTAAATTTCTAAAGAAGGTGGTGAAACAGTGGATTGTGTCAGAGTGTGCGAATTAAGCAGTTTCAGCTTTAAATGTTGTCAGATTTCTGCCCCATTCCTACTTCAAACTTTAGAAACAGCCCACACTCCCTCACAGAGTCAGAGGGGTCTTTGCCTGACAGCACTCCCTTGACTTGTAATGCCTCCACAATGTTTCTGTGGGTCTACTTTGTGTAGAGAGATACGACCCTTGGTAAATACTCAGAGAATATCAGATACCATGGTCCACAAAGATGGTTTCACCTCTATGGCTTGGGTCCAAAGATCGGCTTGTGTAAATGGAAGACATATCCCTTTGTGCATGATGGAGTCACTAATTTCCAACAATTCCTTCACCATCTCAAGCTGCACCTCCCTCCACATTGTATCACCCTCCATTTGTGGGCAAGGGGTCAGAGAGCATGAGGGGCTGCAGAGGAAAAGGATCAGGAATTGTGCCTGGTAAACACTATCTGTTATTTTGGATCCAAGCCTGTATTTGGCAGCTGTAAGAATTAATGTTAACAATGGTTGCTAATCATTAGGTGACTCACGGGTCAGGCTGAATGCAATATACCAAAAGCAAGTTTACCTGCTTTCAACCAAGCTATTCCTATTTGTATTCTGGAACTGAAGCGCAAAGCCTTAATGCACACACCGTGCTTTTGCTGGCTTCCACAAGCGAAGAAAGATTAAGAGCTGCACATAATGCATTTAGTGTTTCATTTACTAAAGTACATTTTATAATCCCATAAGAAAAGGATTTGATGGCACCCCTGACCTGCCAGGCAAACAGTGGAGGTGCGCACATTGTCCAAAGAACTTCTGCACACAGCCCCCATCACACAGCCCCTCAAATGCTGCTGACCTACATTCCTCAAGGGGAGTCGAGCCTGCCAATCACTCCAAATCAGGCAACATTAGTCGTCATGCAGAAGACTTCACACAACGTGTCAGATTGACACTAACTCCCCGTCATTTGTCTCCAAACACAAGAGAAATGTCAACACAATTTTCCAGAACTACAAGCATAAAACCATTTCCCACTACATAAACACACACACACACACACACACACACTATATTTTCCTTTCTTCCCTCCCTTTGTGCATCTTGAGACATCTGTCAAGCTGCATAGGTGTGTTGCTTTCCTAGCATGTTGTTTGAACATAAATAAAGTGCCACAAAGTGCAGCCAGTTCCTTCCTTCATTCTTGAGCCTGATTAATTCTGAAAAGAAAAGAAAAAGGAGTTGGCATCTATTATGGGTAGTGAAACCCCAGTTTGAGGGGCCTCATCTGGGGCCCCCAAGCAAATGTTTCTCTTCTCCACCCCTCCAGCCAGACCCCACTATTTTTGTCAGTGGCAGCAAAATGGCGGGTGGAATAATAACGCTGGGGTGGGCAGAGGCTATTTGGAGAGCCAATAATGGCTCTCCCATTTCACGAGCAGTTTCACTTCATAAGGATCATTTCAAAAGAATAACAATGTCAAATAAACTATTTATTCATTGGATTTCTCACCTGCCCTTCACCACAAGGTCCCAGAGCAAGATACAATGATAAAATACACAAATATATAACAGATAAAAGTCATAAGTATAAAGCAAATGTAAAAAAACAACTGCAAACAGTTCAAAATATAAAACAATTCCATATATAAACACAATACCATTAGTGAAAAACAATTCCACGTATGATAACAGTTAAAAGTTGTTCCACTACAGATGGAGACTGGGATACATATCTCCGCTTAAAGGCTTCTTGAAAGGGGACGGTCTTCAGAAGGCACCAAAATGACAACAGAGATGGACACCTATGCAATATGTAATGGAAGCGCTTTCCAAAGGTAAGTGCCACCACACTAGAGGCCTGATTGCTGTATCGTGTGGAACAGACAATAGGACTGTTGCTGTTTAGTCGTGTCCGACTCTTCGTGACCCCATGGACCAGAGCACGCCAGGCACTCCTGTCTTCCACTGCCTCCCGCAGTTTGGTCAAACTCATGCTGGTAGCTTCAAGAACCATCTCGTCCTCTGTCATCCCCTTCTCCTTGTCCATCTTTCCCTTCTCCATCTTTCCCAACATCAGGGTCTTTTCCAGGGAGTCTTCTCTTCTCGTGAGGTGGCCAAAGTATTGGAGCCTCAGCTTCATGATCTGTCCTTCCAGTGAGCACTCAGGGCTGATTTCCTTCAGAATGGATAGGTTTGATCTTCTTGCAGTCCATGGGACTCTCAAGAGTCTCCTCCAGCACCATAATTCAAAAGCATCAATTCTTCAGCGACCAGCCTTCTTTATGGTCCAGCTCTCACTTCTATACATCACTAGACAATAGGATAGCATGCCCAAAGTCCATTTTGGCAAAGTCCATTTAGGGGGCTTAATCCGGCCAGCTAATCAATTTAATCCGGCCTCTGTGGCAGTATATGTCCTGAGGTAAAACCCTAAAAAAAGCTCAGCAACTTTGGTCGGCCCTCACACATGTTCACTTCATCAAATCTGGCCCTCTTTGAAAGAAGTTTGGGAACCCCTGGCGCCCCACGCCAAACCTATGCATCTGCAATCAATGAAGTTGTGGCCTAATTATATATAGTCCAACATCTGTCTCCTCATCTTCATTTGCCTCATGCACCCCTTCCCTCAGCTTCACCGCACCTGGGTCTGCAAATAATATTATTTGGCTTTACTTGGTTTTAATCTCTTTTACAGGCGAAATACTGCAGTAGGGAACGTTGATGATAAAGATTGCCATTAAGACGGCCACTCCTAATAAAAAGGAGTGCTTGCTTCAGGCTGCAATTGTCTACCTACTTTGCTGACAGTAAGCTCCACTGAACACAGAAAAAAAAAATCTTATGAATAGATACGGGTAGAATTTGTAAATTTTAATTTAATGGAATTTTTAGAAACACTTTTCTCCAAAGAGAAACCGGTTTCATTTAATTAATATAAAGTGATGTAAACATGATCAATCAATTAACGGCTAGTTGGTTATTTGGATGACAGGCCTTGCAGAAATAGGCATGTAGCGTTTTGATGCTGAATGGATAATTGGCCCAATGATAGATACCACTTTATCAGTGCTGCATCTCAGGATCAACACAGGAACAATAATCTACACTAAGGTATCTGTCAATTAAAGGCAAATCATTCTCCATTAATTATTGTTGATGTGTGGGTTATTTTTTTGCATTGGAGTCAGACTTCACTAGAGGCTGGTATTTTGCAAAATACCAATAAATTACCTTGATAGATTTCAGAATCAGGCCACAGTGAAGTTTTTAAGCTGCCCCTTCTTCTTGATTATAAAGACATTTTTCATTTTCAAGTTGATATATTAATGTATCATTGATGCCAACATGAGTCGGCAATGCGGTGACAGCTCTTTCAACATGAGCAGCATTGTACTACAAAATAATCTACTGAATCTGTGGTTTTCCTTGCAACATGAATCTCAATTACAGTCCCCTTAATTGCTGGAAAATGAAAGCAATTGATTATGTCCCACAAGCTTCATTTTCTTCACCACCAGAAAGGATCTACTAGGTATTCAGCTTTTTTTTAAAAAAAAACCTGTAAAATAGCCAGCAGTTTGCATAAATAAAGAATATGCATTGTTTAGAATACTAGGCAGAAAACTGAACAAAAGCTGCTCCACACACCCACACCTAAATTTGTGTGACACATTACTAGCCTCAAAAGGCATTTGGTAACATCAGATATTTTTCTCATGTGCCAGTTCTAGGTTAAAAACAAAAGTTGGACTCCAAAGACTTATTTTGAGGTACAGCCAAGAACGATGGCATGGCCGGTGAGGTTTCTGGTTGTTTTCCTTTGAATGGCAGACACACACACAAATATTCCAAGGCATTTTACAGCTGCTTCTGCAAAACTCCAAAAGGGATTAGCCACATGGCGTTGAGCAAGGGAGCGCTGTTTATGCAGTGAAAGCCCAGAGCTCCCTTGGGCACAGGGAGTTGGTTGTGCATTTATTTGGTTCCAGGCCAAGTTGAGAGACACAGACAAAAAAACCACAACGGTTTAATTAAAACACATATGCACCTCCTTTCATCAACATTCTCAAGGCACTTTGCAAACATTTAAGTAAAACAACAATGGATACATATAAGAAATAGGAGCTAAAATGCAGCTGGAAGTCAAGAATTAGAACACTTAAGATGGCAGATGTATTTTAAAATGCCTCCTTCATACCCTCCAAATGTCCCTATTTTCCAAAGGCAGTCCTGGAATTGCAAAAGCCATCCCAGCTTTTGATTTGATCCCAGAATGTCCCAGTTTCCTCTGCAAGTGCCACCGCTGCTGCGCTCCGCGAAGAGGAGCTGCCGCTTGTGCTGAGCAATGGCTATGGCCATTGTCACAACTGCAAGCATCCCACGGCCTCTCTTTGCCATTGCTGCCAGCCTCCTCCTCTGGCAGCTCATAGTTGCTGCTGGAGAGTGGCTGAGGAAGAGGAGGAGCGGCCACCTCCGTCAAGGCACAGGTTCTTAGAGGCAGGCAGAGGGCAGGGCCATCCTGGGTGGGAGGAAAGGGGGAGAGGAGATGAGTATAAGGAGTTTCAATTTTTTTAAATGCTTAAATAATTTATTATTCTTATTCTTATTCTTATTATTATAAATAATAATTAATTATAATTATTTCTACCCTGCCCATCTGGTTGGGTTTCCCCAGCCACTCTGGGCGGCTTTCAACAGAAGATTAAAAGCAGAATAAAACTTCAAACATTAAAAACTTCCCTAAACATCCATGTGTATCCATGTCTAATCTTGCCCCTTTCTAAGATTTATTGATTGGTGTGTGTTTTTCTTTTTGTGAAATAAATAAAATAAAAATCAGGATTAAGAGGTTTCATCAGGACTGTTCAGGATGTATGTGTTCTGCCCCGTTGGTATAGTGGTGGCAGAAATGTTCTGCGGGGCGGGGGAGGGGGACCAAAAATGGTGGGTCAAGGAGGGTCAGTGAAGAGGAGTAGGAAATGTCCCTATTTCCATCTGAGGAATCTTGGAGGGTAGTATGCTACTTATATTTTTTAAAAGTGTTTTTTGTCTGGTGCCTAAAAGTAAGCAAAGGTGGCACCAGGTATACCTTGCTGAAGAGGACATTCTGTAGCTAAGGTACCACTACGGGGGGGGGGGGAATAGTGTTACAACTAATCTCAGCTCTGAGCAATAAATCATCGGCTTACTACCGTAGTGTACAGAAAAATTTGCATGGAAAATGGCACTCTTTCAAGTTTCCAAACCTTTTATGGCCTTAGAGGTGAACACCAGCCATTTGAATTAGGTCCAGAAGCAAAAAATGGAGCCCATAAAGTTTTTCTAAGACTGATGAGATATCACTGCCAGTCAGCACTCTGGTGGATACATTTTACAGCAGCCAAAGCTTCCAAACCATTTTCAGAGGTAACCCTATGTACAGCACATTGCAGAAATCCAGACAGGTTGTTAGTAGAGTATAGATAACCACGGACAGGTTACCTCTGTTCAGGAGAGGCTCCAGCTTGGGCAAAGAAGCCCTGCACTGGCTTAGCCTGTTAAGCCATGGTTAGAGTAAAGAGCATAGCTACATTTTGAACCTGTTTCATCAGGTGGAGTGCAACTCCACCCAGAATTTGTTCAATACTTTCCATTCACAGGCTCTCCATCTTGTCAGGATGAACCTTCCATTTATTATTACTATTATATCCGATATTTTGGAACCGAACAGAAGTGCTTTGGGGCCTACCCAAAGAATAGCTAGAAAACCCAACAGTTTTTTGTGGTCCCCTCTGCAGGGGGCCCTACATTTATCAAGCAGTGTTGAATCCTACTCAGGGCAACATACATGGAATTTCCTTATTTTTATCTTCAAACCACCCTCTGAGGTAGATGATGCTAAGCAACACTGACTTGTCTGAGGCAACCCAGCCAGTTTCCTTGGAGCTCGGGAGATTTGAATTGAAGTGGTTTGTTCTTGTGAACGCCTGAAAGCCCCTCCCGTCTGTGGCAATTTCAGATACTTGTTGCAAACCTCTTCCTGTTGCTTTGATGCAGCCTGGCACCTTTTTGTCCTCCTGGCTGCTTGTGGTTTGGCAGCCTACTTTGTTCCTCTGCTCCTTTGCCCTCGCTGCCATTTAATCTAATTGCCTATGGCAACCCGGAGGAGTCTGCCAGCCACATCACAATGGCGCGTACGACGTGATGTCACACAGGCACTCATAAACAAAGCCAGCAAGGTTACTTCCACTCCTTCCCCACTCAGGAATTAATTCAGCTGCAAAATATGACCATTTCAAAGAAGATATCAAAACCAGTGAATATCCGGCACACAGCTCACTTGAATCCTGGTCTCTTTGACCCAAGACTCTTTCTACAGTGCCACGGTGGCACCATGGATTCGTCAAATGAACACCCAAGCCAGTCACAACCCAGCGAAACATTATCTTGTATTGCACCAGCAGCAGCGAAAACATTTCTCAACAAGCAAACTGTTCAGAGAAGCTGTGATCTCAAAATAGTTCTTTGGGATGGCAATGCTAGATACAGGCAATTCTGTCCCTAAGTTCTTTAAAAGCATCCATGCCTCATTATTGAAAAGAAACTTTTAAAACCATCCAACACGAGGAGGCAGGGAGACAGAGGCAATGCCGACTCAGATGGTATATTCCTATTTCAGTCTCGCTTTCTCCCACACCCTCCTGCTTTTCTGCTTTCTCTTGCTGCCTGCGCGTATCCACCTAACACTCCCCCTGCAGTAAGCTGCAGAATGGGACACTCTTGTTCCAAAGCCAGCCGGCAGCTGTCACATAGCGGAGGCAGCAAGCAGCCTGAGCAAAGAGTGAACCTACTCTGTCATTTAGGATGACTCACAGGGAATTGGCATTAATCCCTCTCTTTCTTGTAGTGGACGGAGCACAGCCAAAAAGCTACACTGGACTAGATCAAGGTAAGGCTGGAAGATTGCTTCTCTCTTTCTCTCTTTCTAGATATATTAAAGCAATACACCTCTGAGGCTTTGATGGATGGCTGACACTGGTACTCTACACCTGGCATGGCATGTCACTAGTAATTCCTTCCTGGTCTTAGCCTCTGGGGTGCTGTTCTAGAGCTGTAGTCCTTGATCACAACAGACAGATTGAAGCCAGCCACATAGATTGCTTTTCTTTCTCAAGTGCAACTTTTCTTAATGAGGGCATTGCTCCCAAGCTCCGGCAAGATATAAAAAGATGCTCAACATTCCTAAACTCTCCTCTCGGGAGGTACCCACAGGGATCAATTTTAGGGAAGACCAGGGGTCTATTAGAAATGCAGCCTTGCAGCTTTCCTCACTTGCAAAATTGAGCTCAGGTTTCGTAGTTCAAAGAAGCACTTTGCTCTATCCATTGCCCACCCCACCCCCCAAGATATCCCTAGCAATTCAGAGCCTCCCAGGCACAAATACATCTCCTTAATTTATGCTGAGTGTTTTGAAAGCCACGGCACTCACTCAAGCTATCTGAAAAAAGCCCACCCAGGGACTATCAACTGTTCTGTGCTGCGCTGATACTGATAAAAAGCCTGGCACTACGTTTTGATAAACGAAACCCACAAACGTGCATGTGGGAGCACCCTGACATTTGTGTGGATGGCTAGCAACTCGTTGCTTTGAGCCATAGGGAACCATTTTATGTTCCTGGGTACAGTTTTCTTCTATTAGTTGTCGAATCTGGTGTCTAGTCCTAATGCTACTGCTTGCATTTTATCTTTGATTTCTAATTGAAATATCCATCTTGCTTGTGTGCGCTCTCTGTCGAGCTAATGTTCTAGGAACCAGCCAGTTTATCTCGGAAGTGGTTCCATTAAATAAACCTTTCCTGAAGTGCATTTAATACATGGAAGAGAAGCTGAGCAGGGACCTCAAACAATTTTTATGAGCTGTGCTCCTTGATGTCTGTTTTGGACCAAAAGCACCAAATAACTTTCTCTAACTGTAATAATAATGCATGCAGCGCTCTTTTCTCTGCTGGGTTTAATTTTGTGTGCTGTAAATGGAAGTGTTTTATTGTTTGCCCTTTACATCGCGCTTGGTTCACCTGGACCCACTATGGATGGGAAATACTTTGTAATGAGTTGATGGCTTTTATGCAATTAAAGGGTCAGACAAGAGGCTGCTCATGCAATAACTAATGCTGTGGGGTTGTGTATAGAGATTGGCCACAGTTTATTATGCTGATTGTTTCCACTATTTCTGCATGAACTGGTACATGAAGAGTTGTGGTGCCTAAATGTGGTTATTGGTGTAGCAAGTAAACCTGCTGATTGCTGCTGTATTGAGTGCATTTCTGATCTGAACAGTTGCATCCTTCACTAGGGGGTAAAGATGGCAGTAACACATCCCTTGTGCCCGCAGGCATAGCAACACACCCACACTTCTGAGTCCTCGAGAAGACTCATAAACACTGCGACTGAAACTCATCTGTAACGCATTATATTTAATTGCTTAAACTGTGCTTATTTTTTTAATGATCCAATGCTTTGTGTGTTCTTAGAAAATGATATTGCTATTCAAGAAGTTTAATTACATCTACCTCAAAAAAATTTAAATGTGAAGCCCACCTTATTTCATAGTCTCATTAGTGGCTAATAGTAGTTAAGCCATCTGCACTGAAACATGTATTGAAAATGTGCTATAATAGATCTCATGCTCGATTCTAACTTGCCTTGCTCCATCCACCCAAGCCAGCTTTGTTTTTCTTTGTTTTTTTAAGTTTTCTAAAACTTTCAAGAAAGTACAGTGGTACCTCGCAAGACGAATGCCTCGCAAGACAAAAAACTCGCTAGACGAAAGGGTTTTTTGTTTTTTGAGCTGCTTCACAAGACAATTTTCCCTATGGGTTTGCTTCGCAAGATGGAAACATCTTGCAAGTTTGTTTCCTTTTTCTTAACACCGTTAATACAGTTGCGACTTGACTTCGAGGAGCAACTCATAGAACGCGGTGTGGTAGCCTTTTTTGAGGTTTTTAAAGACTTTGGTGATTTTTGAAGCTTTTCCAAAACTTTCCCGACACCGTGCTTCGCAAGACGAAAAACATCGCAAGACGACAAAACTCGCAGAACAAATTAATTTCGTCTTGCGAGGCACCACTGTATTCCAAGCGGGGATGACACCCCAAGGGAAGAAAATTCTACAATTTACAGAACAATCAAAAAGAAAGCTTGCATGCTAGCATGCCGTGCAGACTCTATTCCCAACAGTACATTCTCTATTGACAATGGGTTAAAATGGGTTATCGGGATGAGGCAGTCTCTTCATGATATTATAGCCAATATTCTTAGAGCTCTAGAAGTGAATACTAGGCATTGAATTGTGCCCGCTAGGCTGCAGGAAGCCAGAGGAGAAATTTGTGGTATTTTATTTAAAAAACAATCCAACCTTGTTAAGAGAGACACCGTAGAACTCCAAAGTGGATGAAGGATCTCTTGAAGTCCTCAAGAAGAAGAAAACACATGGAGTATATTACAGTAGTATATAGTTTCAAGGTTATAATAAATTCTTATAAAAAGAGGCATAATCTTCATAACCAGATTACATCAGGGAAATGCTTGCTTGCCCCCTGCAGAAACCTGGGGTTCTAGGCAGAGCAATGTGTCCAGGAGAGCCCCAAGGCTGGAGACCTGAGTGAGCAGGAACAGCTGAAACCAAACCAGCAGCATGTGGCCTTCTCTCTTCATCTTCTCCCAAGCACATTGCTTCAGTCTTGTCTAGTAGATTCAGCTCTAGGACATTAGTACATGTTGCACTCCCACCCTATGGACTGCCCAAATTCCATGAATAATTAGACATGACATCTAGTGTTTGTGTCAAGGTCCAATGACAAGACTGACAATCCAACAAAGAGATCCCAGGACTGGCAGATCCAGCAAAGGAGTGGCTGCCAAGGCAAACCATGGGTCCTCCTTAAATGCCTGGAGAGTGGCCCACAACCACCCCCTTTGTTCCCTTGCGATTGGCCAATTGAGTGAGTGGGCTGGATCCTTTTCCCAGGCAGCAAGCTTGGCCCAGGGACCTCCTTTGCTGCTTGGAAAGCAGCTCAAGGGGCCTCCCCCATCTGATCACAGAGGGAACACTGGCTCACAACAGCACCCACCAAGAAGGGTGAATGGTCTTATGAGAAGCATGGGCTGCAACAGAAAGCAGCATGCCTGCATCAAGTTCTCTCTACTGCCTTTGCTATGCAGGAACCTTCATTCCATGTTGTGCTCTCATTGCATTGTGTGTTCCCTTGCTGATACCCATAGCAGCCAGTGATGTGACGTCAATTGCCAAGAAAAAACACAAAAAGCATATGCATCCTAATTACATAGGATCCTACATAAGGATCATTCATCCTTCCAGATGAGACCAGAACTTAGGCCTTAAATGGACATGCAGACCCCAAGTCACAGAGGTTTAAAAATGGGCTCGCCAAGGTTTCAATTAATCCAGCATCTTACTGCCCACAGTATCCAACAGGATATCTCAGAGAAGTCCAGAAATAGGATTTATAGGCAATACACGCTACAGAAGAAAGGACTTATGTAGTAACTGTAGATGTTTTAGAGAAAAACAGCTGTTTATTTCATATTTATATATCTCCTGCTGTCAGTTTAGGAAACTCCCAACAGCTTTGACATGGCTCCTTGCAAGTCTCCTATCCAGGCACTGATCAGAAAGAGACCCACATAGCTGTAACAGCATTGCACTCAGAACATTCTCAAATTTGAGTTTCCTGTTCTGTATTTTCCCCTCCCACAGTGAAAGTATTGGTTCATAACTGTGTTTTGTCATTGGAAGCATTCATCTGATAAATGTCACACCTCCAATTGCCATCACTATTTTCCATATTCAACAGGATCAATAAGAAATGTATATGCAGAGGTTTGGTTTGACAAGGAAGATTACAGTTTGATGATGCGTTGCTCTGAAGCACCTATTAATATCTAGGCTGGTTGGTTTTGTTTTATTTTTGTCCTTAAAAAAAATGTGGGGAGCAAATTATAGCTTGCAAGAGTTCCATCAATTGCTTCATTTCCATTTTGATGGTTTGAACAAGTCTTCAGTGTAAATGGCAGTGTCTGATCCTGTTTGCCAGTGAATACAATATAAAACCCATTCATAAATGAGTTTGATACTTATCTGTGTGCTATCAGCTGTTCTCCCCGTGCTTCTCTTTAGCTGGAAAAACAGGGTCTATTGAAATGTATGCGATTCAATGAGATAACAGTTCATTTGTAACTTGGCAACCAAGGGAAGAAATCATGTTCCAATAAGACATCACTCGTGCAATCCTATGTTTGTGTTGCCCTGTTCCCAAGGAGATGAACCCTAGAAAAAAAAAAGCTACCATGCTAAGGCAGCAATCCTATTCAATTAACCTGCAAGCAAGTCCCATTGAACTCAATGGGAGTTAGTTCTGAGTAGACATGCATAGGGTTGTACTGTTACACTCTGCAAGTGATAGATCTATAACAGAAAGAGACAATGCCAGCTATTACTTCTAACTAGAGATAGCACAGCATCTAGCCTTAAGTGCTACCAAACTGGAGGATTTGTTTTCTCTTTGTCAAGATGGATAAACTGTTGTTGTCATACCTTATTTGATATTATGCATCGAGAAACATTTTGAGAAGGGTATGTAAAAGAAGAGCTTCTCTTTGCAAGAGGCTTGTGAAGGGCTCCATTCTCCCACACAACGGTCTGAGCCACTTTCCCATTTTTCTCCTCATTCACCTTGGTAAATAATGTAAAAGTAGTGGCTGGAAAGAGAGGAACTGTAGAACTAGAAAAACAGTGCAAGAAAGTTTGAGAGATAGAAACAGAAGCAACCTGTCTCTACAATACTCATTAGTCCTGACGACAGAGGGGGGCTGTCCCAGTCCAGCCAATCTGAGTGCTGCATGAGGTCTGAGCAATTAGCCTCTCCCAGGCCATGACTAAGAACAGCAGAAGCAGGGATTTTTTTTAAAAATAATAATCTTATAAGTTGTGTGTCTGTGTTTCTCAAATTGATCCTTTTACATGGCTTTGCATATATTGCAGTATTTTATGAATTGAGACTTGCAGCTATTTTTATTGATCATAGTTTAGTAATTCTTTACTGCAATTGTTAAGAGAGAATTTGTTTATTATTTGCTGATGTTTCGAGAGTTACCTTTTATTGTGTACTATTATATCCTAATAGATTCTTGAATATTACTTTATCCGATATAAGTCGTTCCATTTTAAAGTTACGTTTTATTATGACTTTTTGTATTGGATCAGATTATGGTAAGGTGCATGTCCTTTGTTGCATATTTTGTTGCTGTCAACCGCCTTGTGTATAGTAGTATAGAAAGGCAGTATACAAATTAAAAGTGAAATGAAATGGGGAACACCACCCCCGGAGCAGTAGCAAACAGCAGCAGATAGCAGAGAAGGTCACAGGCAGCCGGACACCACAAGATCTGGCCCAGCCCTCAGGAGTACATAAGAGCATAGGAAGTTGCCTTAAACAGAGTCAGACCACGGGTCCATCTAGCTCATATTTTCTACACTGACTGGCAGCAGCACTCTAGTCTCTCCCAACCCTACCTGGAGATACCGGGGATTGAACCCAGGACTTCCTGCTTGCAAGGCAGATGCTCTACCACTGAGCTAAAGCCCTTCCCCAAGTAGTAAGAAGCTGATTTGGCAAAGTATGAAGCTTAGCCAGGTACTTAAATGCAGTAGTGGCCGGCAGGGCAATACAGGTGGGGATGCATTGTTGACTGGGCTTCCCAGCTAGTGGCCTGGGGGGCGGAGGCAAGGTAGAAGAGAGGCAGTTGAATGTGCATGCGTACTGTGTCCATTTCCCTTCCTCCCACCCCTCTGTGCAGCCCCGGCCACTGGCAACTCGCGCTACACCACTCCTCTGCCTACCAGAAAAAGAGATCTTTGGGTCATGATGGAAAACTCACTAATAATGTCAGATATGTGTCCTAAAGTAAAAAGGGGGAGTGGGGCTCATCTGTAGGATATAGTAGGAGAAAGGCTGGAAATAAAGACAGAAAGTGGCTTAATCTCACCAAAGAAATCCGTGACGTGGCTACATTAGGAATGCAACTGAGTTTTGGTTGGTGCAGCTTAGAAACATCTTATAGAACTACAAATACAGAAACTGGCAGCTAAAATAATTTTGGACTTGGTTTTTGGAGGATGTTCCCTACTAGAAAAGCCTAAAGAAACTCAAGCTACAGTTTACTTGGGGATAACCCCATTGAACCTGAATGGGGCTTACTTCTGAGTAGGCATGTATTGGATTGCACTGTTGGCTTTTAATCCCCATCCCTGCCAAGTCATCCCTGCCAAGTTTTAGAAGTATACATAAAATGTTTGTGTGTTCCGGTAAATAGCTGTGCAATTACTAATTATGTGATGTTAATGTAGTAATTAAACAGCAAACAGTAAATCCACACATTTGTGGTAGCCCTTGCCTTCCCCTTGCTAAGGGAAAGGCAAAACCTGCAGAGCAGGGGAAAATCCTTCCCAGCCCCGAATACGGCAACCGTCACCAGACCAAAGCAAAGCCCTTCTAGCTGAAAAGAAAAAAAAATGGTTAAAGCAGCAAGAAATTAAGAAATTAAAGTAGGGAGGGAAAGGGTGGTTGATGCTCCTGGCTGACTGGATGAGGAGCACAGTGTTGGCCAAGATATATAGCAGACGGGCAGACCTGAGTGAAGCCTGCCTTACTCAGGTCCACACGCCCAGCCATGCTGCCCCCAGGCCGCTACAGATTGGCCCAATTTGAAAACAGGTTTGGCAGGAACACATGAACCTCCATGGCAGCTGAGGGGGGTGCGCACAGACAAAGTGGGGTGTCGGGTCTGGGCTGGTGGAGGAGGCGCTGCGTTGGGCAGCAACCACCGCTCACCGCAAAGGAAGTATGCAGTCATTTCAGACCCTTCCTTCCTTCCAGAACTATCAGTTCTGTATTCAGTATGCCTCCATTCCTTCCCCAAATTGGCCAATACTATTTAATTCAGTGAAAAATGACTGTGTACTATTGGTTGTATATCCATTCCATTTTCTCTAGTATTTGGTGCATAACCATGAACTGAGAAAATGAAGCAAACAGGAATAATCCAAAATTCAGAACAGTTGAAGCCCCCTTTTTTTGTGCTCCCTTGTGACAAATCTCAGAAACATCATTGCATTCTAAAACATTGTATTTGTTCACTTCTTAGAAGTTAAGCTAAATATGTTCAGAATTCTAAACCCCTGGTTCTCTACATTCAGCTATTATCCAAGAAGGCACAGCTTAAAATTTTGAATAATTTACATAGGAAGATGAATAAATTCCAAAGAGTTTATAAACTTCCCCATCAATTTGTCCTCCACTCTGATTGAAGATGCACCAAACAGTACAATTGTAATTGAATTAAATCTGATCTTGGACAAGTACAGAGATTATGTTCATCAAGCAAATATGCAAATAGTATCTAGCATCCATCACACATTCCTTTTAATTATTAGCAAGGGTCTTTCTCAAGGGTGCTTTATTAATCAAGCATCTGTTGGGTAGCAAATATAGCTTAAGCATCCATCATCCAAGAAGTATCTAGGTGAAACAGAGGACAATTTTATGATCCAGAAAGAGAAATCCAACAGTATTTAGAAATCATGTGTAAACCACCAGTTATGCAGCGAAAGAAAATGATGTCACAACTCTGTGTAAATCAGCTTTGGCTATGTGATGATATTGCTAAGGACGGCTGAAGGCAGTTCAGAGTGAGGGAAGTGCTTCCTGAATTGGCAAATACTGCTGAGCCTTTCTTGTCAATCACTTAAAGTCATCTTTTCAATGCTCCCAGAAATGTTCTTCCCCACTTTGGCTCTGAATTCTAAAGTTAACTTTGACACCTCTGTATCTCCATTTCATGCCACTCTTCAGCTCCATTTGTCTCAGAAGAGCAGTGGACAATAAGTCAGCAATATGGCCTTGCCAGACATATGTATAAAGTGAGCCTAATTCACTTTGAGGTTGTTTAACAAATATGGCATCATCCATGTGCCATTCAAAAGCCCACAGGATCCTGGGACAGATAAGAGGGTTTGACAGCTGCATATTCCCACATTGTATGGGGTTGGACAAGGTCAGAGTTTCCCAAACTTGGGTCTCCAGCTGTTGCTGGACTACAACTCCCATCATCCCTAGCTACAAGACCAGTGGTTGGGGATGATGGGGATTGTAGCTCAAAAACTGCTGGAGACTCAAGTTTGGGAAACCCTGGACTACATGATCCTCAGGGTCCCTTCCAACTCTACAATTCTATGATTGGTTGCCCACAGACCTTAGACATCTCAACATTTCAAAGTCCTTTCCTCAGCACAGGTAAGCCAATGTCAAACAGAAGGACGGTGACATAGTTAAGGGGCCACTGTGACATCAGAGGAGATCCACCATCAAGAAAACACAGCAGAACACCACCTGTATAACAACAAACACAGCTTGATAGGTACATGATGCAGATGACAGAGCACACAGCATGGATCTCTCTCCCTCTCTGGCCTCATGTCAAATTCAATCAGAGTTCATAGCGGCCGATGGGAAACTATGGAGAAAAGTCATTTTGCACACAAAGAAAGAACTTTGCACAAACAGCCTGTCTTGGGAAGACACAGGGGAACTTGAGCACATTGCTAAAACTTTTCTGTTTAGAACTCTGACAGGTATCTTGCCTCAGGACCCAACAACCTGAAGCCCACTTCACCAACAGGCAACACCAGGACAGAGCACCATACAGAGGTAAACAATGGACAAAGGGGCATATTCTGTAATGTAGTTAACTGCTGCAATTGGTTTATTTCCCACCTCCTTTGTTACATGTGAAAATCATGTTTTGTCTGAACTAGGGATGGAGGAGAAATTTGATTCAGTTTGTATTCAAAGGCAAACCTATCAATTTTGCACTTTCTGAAAAAAAATATGAGAACTGAAACAGGCATCTTTCAAAATTTGTCCATATCTGAATTTTGAAATGGAGTTCTCCAACCAGTGTTTACAAAAATGCATACAGTACATAGAAGTATGCATGGAAATTGTGAAAGCACACTTTACCACCACAGTGTGCAGTAGTGTATGCCAAACACAGGTGACGTCTCTGTGGTTCTTTGCTGACGGTTGCTAGATACCTCTTTCCAACCGGTGGTGGACCCTTGAGGTCTCAAATTTCAGCAGTACCCTCCACCTCTCATCTTCCATTCTATATCATAGTTGTGGCAGCCTCTAGGCTCCATGCCCAATGCGACCGAACCAAACTGGTCACCTCTGTTCCAACCCCTGCCACTGCTGGTCAAATAGTTATGAGCATGCAGAATCACAGTCTGGATGCATGCAGCAGAACAAGCTGTTACCTAATGCACAGTATTTTGCTACATTCCCCAAATGGGGAGAATGTTCACAGTCAGTTCCCCTTCCCTCCAAGGGAGGCTGAGGCCTGAGAACTGACTAAAGCACTCATATGGCACAATTTCATCTTCTGTTTCTAATATTTACTACCTCTCGGGAGTTTAATTTATATGGAAATGTTGCGTATACTTAAAAAAAGCAAAAACTATTCAGGGACTATGTGCTCCAGGCTGCTGCTTATTTCATACACTCTGTCTGTCCTTGCTCTTCATAGGTCGATTTCTCACAGGTACAGGATCCACCTCATGGCTTATTCTATTCTAGTCAGGAGAGAGACCTCTCCTACTACCAGCAGGAGTGACCAGGATGACCCCAGCTGTTCCTCCATGCGGTTGGTAACCTACTTGGCTCCAGACCAGCTCCGCCATCCTTGCAAGCCTCATGACCGCTGTGCAACAGTTGAAGAGGTTCCCACCATGGAGATGGACCCATGAGCAACACTGCAACTGTTGCCTATCAAGACACGTGTCCAAGACATGGGAGGCCTGCCAGGATGATTGGCTGGCAATCCCACCCATGTACTTCCTTTTCAGGAGCCACTCAATTCCTGGATGTTGATCATTAAAGCACCGATGTTGTCATGTGCTGTTGTTCCTTTGTTGACCAGAAACGCTAGAACAAAACGGGTCTCTAACGCCCAAGTATCATCTGACCTCAAGACAGAACTCTGAGAGGGGCAGGCAAGGAACTTGATGGGCTCAGAAGTCATCACTCCCTCCTTTCTCCGCTCACTCAGGTACTCCAGACTGTGAGGAGGCATGTGTCTCAGGATGTTCAAGTGGGACACTTGCTTCCGCCAGGGTGTACGAGGAAGTCGGTTAGGGTTGAACTAATGAAAGAAGGTAACTGCACAGCTGTATAATGTGACAGATTAAATCCCAGAGTCAGGATTTGTCAAAAGCATGGCAAACTTCAAGATGCCCACCTTTTATTTACAAATTTTTGACCCCACATTTCCTCCCAGCAGAGGCAGATTGAGGGGAGCACAACTCAGTTTGGTCGCACTGGTTGCAGAGTCTCGGGGGCGCCACAGGGAACACAGCTACTATGATTTAGAATGGAGTGCAAGAGGTGGGAGGGGTGTCAAATTTTGGCATTGCACAGGGTGCCATTGCAATGTGAGACCCCAAGGTTCTCCACTGCTCCCAGTGAAGCCTAGGGTAAACAGCAAAGAAATACACTAGAGCAGAAGTGGCTTTCCCGTAACATTAGTCTTCTGACAGTAGTACATGCATGGGCAGAGCCGATCCAACACTCCTGCCAACGTATCTGCATAACTTCAACTTCTCCAATTGATGCCTTGCCCCTCCCATTCTTGGTAAGTGGCAGTCACGCTGCTACTTCTGGGAGGTTAGAATTGTGGCTCTGCCACAGCAGGCAGGCTGTTTCTGTACCAGAACTTTTCAAGCAGCATTTGATGCAGAATTGCTGTCTTAGTTCCAGCTTCCATTTTTTAATAATTCTGCTAGCCAGTCAAGTGATGATCCTCATTTGTACAACACTTTCCAGGGGTGCTCAAATTGTTTCGCACCTTTGTGAGAATGCGTTCGTGACCACAGGGAGGTGTGCATCAGGCACTTCCCAGCTCTCAGTCAACGTAGCCACTATGCTTCTCCAACTCTTGGCACCCTCCCTCTTTCATTTTAGCCTGGCAGCATCCAGGTTTGCAGAATTTGCCTATTTGGATTCTGTAGAAACAATGACATGGCACACATTAAACAGTATCTTTGAAAATGGAAATAAAAAAGCTCCCCCACTAGAACGACTGCAAATGTAAAACTAGCAAATTAACCAGAAAGAAGGGAAATCAATTCATTTAAAGAAAGTTAATTAAAAGGATTCATTCTACTTTGAAACTTCATCATAAGAGCATCACTTACCTTTCTCTGAACCATCTCCCACCCACTAACGTTATCCATGCCTTTGTGGGTTTTGTTCAGGTTTTCTGCATTGTCTCACCTTATCTTCTCCTACTATTACAATCACACGTTGCTTTTCATTACTTAATTGTCAATTATTTGTCTTCACTACTGTTCTATTCTTTTGAAATCTTGTGAAGTGTAGAATAAATGGATTTTTAAAGCTGATTAAGTTTGATATTCAAATGAACAAAAAATACTGATTTTTTTAAAGCACGATGCATTCCATATATATATATTCAGAACTTAGATTTATGAATTACAGTTTCTGATCCGAACACACGCAGGGTCTCTCTCTCTCTCTCTCTCTGTGTGTGTGTGTGTGTGTGTGTGAGTGTGTGAAGAGCACTCTATGCCCGGACCTTAACACAGTGAAATTGATTTTGCTCAGGCTTTCCAATTCATTCGCCCTAGCCAAGCATGGAAAATCGCAACCCAAAATGTATTTGTTGAGAAAGTTATGAGTTACTTTAAATCAGTGACTTACAGAGGCACTGAGACTCAATGTTCGATGCTACCATCGCCTTCTGTAATAAAATAAACCAGGAATTCCTGCCTGCATCATTAACGTGCAATTTTTTGAGTGACTTACTATTTATTCTTCTTTAGAAAAAGGTGCACCAACACAGTAACTTGGGGGTGTATATATACCTTTAAGCTTTCACATTAAGCAAAAGCTTCGGCATGCTACTCCTCCAAATGTAAATTTAAAAATCTGCTTTCAGAACCATCTTCCCAGGAAGAGTGTGTGAGGTTCCCTGGGGCCTCATACGACGCCTGCACACTGTACAGGACTCTGCAAATGAAAAGCTGTCTTATGAAACAGAGGGATCCAGAGAGGATAATACCCAAGTGAAACCCTGTTGAAGGATTTACAGTTCATGGCTGGGGAGGGGGAGGGGGCAAGACCTGTTTCTTTCTCTGTCTTCCTCGCCACTGTATTCCGCAATCTGCAGCATTTCTTTTCCCACTGATTTATCCCAAAATGATCACAAGAGAAGAACTGATTTGGGAAGCAGAGGAGAAGAAAGAATATGCCTTGTTTGCCCAATTTGGGAATGGGATGCTGGGTTATATGGGCTTTTGGTCCAATCCCAAGGGGCTCTTCTTGTGTTCTTAGTGTGAGGGCAAAAAGGGGAGCTAAGAGAAAAACAGTAAATAAAGAAATAATGTGCAGAGCAAAGCACATTTTACTCAATTGCTTGATCTGTAGCACTAAATATGAAGCTATGTATTGATACATAGCATGATAAGCACATGAGCTCAAGTGTTCCTTAGTCCAAAAAAAGATGGAGCATTGAAGTGCTGAATCTCTCTCACACACACTATTTCTGCGAACAATTTCCTTTGCCCCATGAGTGAAACATTGGGCAAGCGTAAGTAAAAGTTTGCAAGATTGCCACCAGCTAATAAGAATTGCTTCAGGGGGTCTTAAGATCCATGCCAATGTCACATTTGAATAGGAAGTGATTTGCATGTCAGTTTTGCTACGGAGAAGTGTTTGGGTGACACAACTCTGTCTCAGGACAGAGCAAATCCAACATGAATGGAGCAATTGAACTACGGCACTCACACAAACTTTCACACTTGGATAACTAATGTGTCTGAAGGCTCGTGCCTGCAGAGGGATGATTGAAGAACACGGTGCCAAAATTGTTTTCTCGTGTCATTGTGGCAGAACTAAGTATTCTGCAGTTGAAACTGCACTGTATGGGCCTGTCTTGTCCCAAAATGGTTCCTAGCATCTCACAAATACAGACATCTCTTCCCAAGACTGAGATCTTATTTGCGCTGTCTAGCTGGCCCTGGACTTGGAACAAGTAGCAATTCTGAGAAAACTACCTTAAAAGTCCTGGATTTCAGTTTTCTAACCAGCAACCTACATTATGCTTCCAAAACTGTGCAACTACATTTCCTACATTCATCTAGACAGCTGACTCTCCCGACAGCACAATCTAGCAGTCAATCTAGATGAAGTGTGACATCCACAGCCTTCACACCAAGATAACAATTTATCAAGTGGTTCAGATGCCCGCCAGGAGCCCAGGTCTCTGTGTTTATTGAATCGTCCATGACTGCAAGCCCCTATCCTTTGGAGGCATATCCTTAATGCAATAGGGTATCAGTCTGACCCCCAAGGAATGTGCGTCTTTTAAGGGTTTATTTCCCTCTTTTGCAAACTGGCACCTTCCTTCCCCGGGACCTGCATCCTTCATGACAGCAGAGGAACTCTTCATGCTGGGAGCAGGATGCTGCTATTGCATTCCTGAAGGCCTCATCCACAAGCTACTCTGTCTCTCCAGATTAGCTCCTGTGGCCTCAAGGGAAGGAACTTGCTCTCCAGGAAGCAAGAGCTCATTCCACTTCATTCCCACCCATATTTTCTGCCCAGTGATAAATAGTATTTCGTGTGGCACTCTGTGCAATACACTGTATACACACCTTTCTGGTTTTTTACCTTCATAACTATTTTTGTTTATTGCACTTGCTTACTTGGAAAGTTATGGGTGTGGGAGTTTAACTGCCCTCCCTGTGGCTAAACGTGGAGAGCTGCTTAACTTGCCTATCTCCTTAGTTATTTACCTTACTGCTTCATCTGCTGGGGGTCCCCTCATTCTTGCACAGCTGGGATCCCCTCACAAGCCTGTTTTACAGCCGCTGGCTTCTCCAGGTTTCTGCTAGGTCAGCTGGAAGTGACAACTATTGTAACAGGGTGACCTTTTTGTTGTTGTTGTTGTTGGCAGACTTAGAAGAGAAAGCAACTTGCTGGGTAGAACAGAGCTTCTATACTAGTTTTCCGTCAGATAGATTTGCTGTTGCTTACCAGGAAAGACAGCCAGCTTGGAGGTCAGTGCAGTGCAAAAGCACTGGCGGAGCCATTCCAATGCTCCTTGCCATGTGCTTGCACTGCATCAACCTTCCTGCCACTTTGCCCCTCCCTTTCTCCCTTCTGAAAGCAAAAAAGACCCACCTGCTAGAAGGATAAGAGCAGTGGCTCTGCGCCACCCAATAAACTTGCTTGGAAGTATCCCAAGTTAACCACATGCCCCAAGCCTTTATCCTGAGCAAGCTAATATCATGGAAATAAATCTCCAATAATGGCTCTTTAAGGTGGGCCAGCCATATCTCCATATTACAATGAAGAGGTAAACCTGAAGTGCCTCTACCTTCCAGATGTGAAATAGATTTCCCAGCTCACTGTCTAAAGAATTACATAACATCCACGTTGTAGAAAAGCCTTAAGCTACAAATTCAAGCTTCCTTGCATTCCACAAGCCAATTCCAAGCAAATTCTTCCTGGATTTCCAGTGAAACTGAGTTGGAGGTCTTGTTTTACCAAATATTTGTACCACTAATTGTTCATTCTCCACTGGGAGCCAACAGTCCAGGTGGTGAGCCAGTTATTTTAAATCTAACAAGTAGACTCTATTTTGCTTTCCTTGGTAGCTGTGCGAAAAGTAGTTGAAAATCATCGCAGCTGCTCTTCTAAAACCAACTGTATTTAACACATTAATGTTAAATGTTGGATGTGTGGGATGCTGAATGAAGACTTCTGCCCAGTGTGTGTGTGTGTGAGTGAGTGTGTGTGTGTGTGTGTGTGTGTGTGTGTGTGTGAGAGAGAGAGAGAGAGAGAGGGAGAGAGAGAAGGAAATAATATGAGCTTTCACCAAAAATGATAGAAGTTATTGGTCATGTGACAGGATGACTTTTTCTTGGAGAGTCCAAGTGGTCAGATGACTTTACTAAACTCAAGGTGGTATGTTTAAGTTATTTGCATGACCTAGCTGAAGTAAACAATACTGAAATGCCCACAAATAAATTAATGGTTACATTGTGGAAACAGAAACAGAAAAATGGCACCAAAAGCAGATATTATTTGAAAATCTGGAATGTCACATAATTGATTAAACTGGTCAGGCTACATGAGGGTACAGCATCTGACAGTCCCCCCCCCCCCTTAAAATTTGACTTCTTTTCAAACTACAGAACCGGTTAAACTGTCAATCAAGATTTTTGAAGTGTTCTTTTTCTGCATTATATTTAAGGTAATTTTTTTCTGTATTGTATTTTTTGCTGTATTTATCTATCTTCTCTAGTGTAGTACTTTTTTAACAGTTATATATAAAAAAAATTTAAACACAAGCAGCTTTAGAATAGCAAGTTCCTTTCCCAGCTCTGAGTCGTAAGTTTCAAAGAGAGGCAAAATATCAGTTACTACCATTTTCAAGACACAACACAAAGTTACTCACAACAACTATACTAGGGGCAGAGAATAGTTTAGACACTGCAGGCATTAAGCTTGCCAGAATTAGGTCAACAGAGATGCAAAGACTGATACAAAGTTCTGCTGATCAAGCCGAAAGAGGGAGGGAGGGAGGGAGGGAGGGAGGGAGGAAGCAGGTTCTACTAATCTAGAATTCTGCACTGTACTGATGTCCTTTGCTTAAATTGCTCATATGTAGGTCAGGCATCTTGCCACATGAAACAAATGTTCTCAGTTCCTTAATCGCAGCTGGACAAATTAGTCACAGACAGCAACCAGGTGATTTCTGCCTTCCCATGTATGAGAATGAAACATGTGGAATACTTAGGCTCGTTTTTTATTATTAAAATTGGAATCTTTGTTGCATATATGCATCATGTTCTCAAAAGTGCACTCTCATTCTAAGAAAGCTCCGATCAGGGGCAGACCATCCCATTTCACCACCTGAGGCAAAACAGGAAGTTGCCACCTCCCCCCACTACTGCCAAAGCCAGGGCCTTGCCACTTCCAGGGGCGGAGGAAGGGGGGTGGGGGCGGTCCGCCGCAGGTGTCATCACTGAGGGGTGTGACATTCAGTGCGCCACCCGCCCGCAACTCCCAAGCCTACCCCGAGCTGTCGG